GACTTCTGTGAGACTCAGTTCACTTCTACAACTGAAAACATATTCCTAGGCTCAGACTAACCTTGATGGTTATGTTCTTTCTACCTCTGCTGTTGAAGGCAGTGTGTTTCTGAATAACAGTTGCTAGAAATTGTAAGAGAGGAGAGTCCTGTTGCACTCATGATCATAGAATTATAGAGTTGGAGGGGACCATAAGAGTCATCTAGTCCAACCCCCTTCAATACAGGAATCTTTTGCCCAGCGTGGGGCTTGAAGCCACAGCTGAGAGGCTTTACCGATTGAGCTTCCCACAGGCATGTTTGGCCACTGTGAGCACTGGATGCTTGGACCATATGGGCCACTGGCCTGATCCAGCAGGCTCTTCTTATGCTTTATGATTGTGCTCAGAGGCATCTTGTTCTTTTCCATTCCATATCTGTAATTGGCCATTTGCATCTGCCTCTGGTTTGTTGGGTCTTGAGGTTCTAATAAAGAAATTGAATTGGACCTGAGAAGTCTGCCCACCTGTGATTTAAGTCTTAATCAGCAGCTTTCGCCTTGTTCCCGGGACTGTGAATTGCAGTTCTGAGGATTTCACCTTCCTCCACTGAAGTTCTTTATAGACAAAAGGTTTGCAGAGCCACTGGTCTAGATTGCAGTAAGCCTAGGAATAACCATGGTTTGCTGGCTCTCATCATCCTTGTGAGCAGTGGTTGGTACAAAGTGAGGATATTTTACTCTGGAGTAACGAAGACTATACATTCCCTGAGAGGGAACCGCATTAGTCTATTACAGCAAAAACTAAAAGACTACAGGACTGTTTGAAAAACTATAAATGTATGATCTCAATTTATGTTAGGGTAAATACCTTGGGTAATAAAGCAGTTTGCTGCCTACAGTAAGCACAATCTCAGTGCCACATCCATAAAACAGAACAATGATCCTACTTCCTAGAGACACTGCAATTTTAACAGTGACTGCAAAGCACATAAAGGTCCAGTTCATGGGTAACTCCAAACCAAACCATGGCTAAGTGTGAATGTGCAAGCTTTAGGGTACTCACAGAAAATATTGTGGCCACTTCACTTCTCCCCAGTCATCCTGCCACTGCGCTATTTGGAACTAAGTAATGGTTTGCCTTAGCATTAGGTTTATCTGCTTCAAACAAACCACAAGCGGTTAGGCAAGAACAAACCACATGCTGCAGCAATGGTTTGTTCTTAGCTTACTTCTTTTGGTTTGTCTGGGGGAGACCATTCATGAGCCCAGGTATGGATGTAACATGAAACTCAACCATAGTCTAGCTCTGGGTAGGGTGGCAATAGGACAAGCACAGGGGAGCGAAGTTAAGTGGCTGTGATCTTTATTGTGAGTACCCACACACTACTCACACTTAGCCATGGTTTGGCTTGTTGTGAACTGAGCTTCTACATGCTTCGAAACCACTATTAACACTATGTAGTCCTTACAAAGTAGGAAGATCATTGTTATTACTTCTGTTTTATGGACGTGGCACTGAGAGTGTGCGTTTAACAACAGAGTTTGAGATTTACCTTTCCTGCCTACTAATAACAAGGCTGAGATGCTGCCCGCTGGGCTGCACCAGTTTTAACAAGATGCCAGGCCCTGAACACTCAAGAGCAAATTGCCATTCCACCCACCACGATAGGATGTTGTTGCCTTTGCTCATGAAACTTTTGGGGCACACAGCAAACAGTGAGTCATCCCAGTTACAAGCGGAGTGACTCATCTTGTCTGAGCAAAGCTTGTCTACATTCAGCTGTGCAATGTACCTGTTTTAAATAGGGCAATGCTTAAGTTCTCATAATGCATCTAGAATTTGAGTTTTATATAACATTACTAGCCATAACCATGTCTTACATGAGATCACTAACCATATCTGTCTGGTACAATATTATCTGGCATTTCTGCTCTTGGAATGTTGTTGGGCAATCCCTGCATTTTGAACATGTGATTACTTTGGGGGAATGGGTGAGAATAAATACAGGCAAATTTATTACGTCTGGATTTATGACCTCTAAAAAGTGTTTCTTTCTTTCAGGTTGTAGAGTCGGCCTTTGGGAAAATCCTCTTCCCACCCCTGTCAAATTCCCGCCACCCTGCTTTTAGCTGCTTTAAAACAAGAGACACAAAACCGCAGAATTTTTGAATTTAAGGTTTTTTTAAAACAACTTTAAATACAGTACTGAGTATAAATTAATTTTTACATAAAATGGGTGTGGAGAGAGAGACCTTGCCCTCCTTACAAATGAAAAAGATGCAGGAAAACAAATGGTCTTTTAAAGACAACGAGAAGTAAGATTGAATAGCAAGAAGTGTTCTTTAATGTCAGAGAGCAAGCTTTGGGTGTAAGGCGGGTAGACAGGCAGGAAATCTCTGTTGTTTCCATCAGCCTTAAATTTTTTTTTTTAAAATTCCTGCTACTGGCCTCCTCCATGAAACTAGATTGAGAGACCACAGCTGTTGCTGTAAGCTTACTTCTTTTATTCGCCAGTAGTGCCTGACCATAGTGCCAACTGATCGTTTTGCAAGGTTTGATCGGCCCATAGTCTTGGTTTGCAAGGAGAAAAGTGGACCTACCCAATACAGCAGATCAGGGAGGGGAAAACCCATGGCCCTCCAGATGGTTTTGTCCTACAACTCCTATGTTCCCTAACCATTGGCCATGTTGGCAGAACTGGTGGGAACTGGAGTGTTTCCCATTCCAGCATTAGGCAGTACAGGAACCTGCCTCTAGCACCTGAATCCAAGTACTCCATACAAATGCAATTCAAGGGGGAAACAGTCCCCCACCCCCTTGGACCCTTTGGATAACAGGATCTGAGGTATGGGGGCAATACCAGACCCAGTTTGTCCCACGAGTTTGCAGTCAGTGTGCCTACCTTCCTACCAGTCTCCCGGTTTGTAGCCTTTTCCTCTTGTTCCATACAAATGAATGGAGCAAAACAGCTTAAGCCAGCCTTGCAGGAAAAGGAGGAAAACCTGGATTTTCAATCCAACCTGGTCATCAGGCAAATGTTGCGTTTCACATGCTTCCTATAAAAGTGACTCCAGGGGCAGGTTATTCCTTCTCTTTCCTTGTGCCAAACATTTGCACAGATACATCTTTTAGGTAGCGTTGTGTGATGTGTCTGTCTCTTTCTAACAAATGCATGTGACTGCCATGCTTCAACTCTTCATCTGGTCTACCTGAGACATGGCAGGAAATCTTTCCAAGCATTAAGGTCTATCCAAGGTGCCTTTTGCTGGGCTTAATCCAGCACAAAGACCAGAGAAATGGCAGAGGCAGAGAGCAGGGGAGAAGGCGGGACTTACCTTGCAAAATTTTATTCACACTCTATCCCAGCCTTTGCCAACCTGATGCCCTCCAGATGGGGCTGATGGGAGTTGTAGTCCAAAACATCTGGAGGGCACCAGGTTGGCAAAGGCAGCTCTACCCATTTCCCCATCCATTATGTGTTTTTTTGCCCTTCTTTTGCAAGAGAATACAGAGAGGTAGGTGGAAAGTAGAAGTTATGAAGTCTTGTCTGTGCAATCCTTCTTTACTCTTTCCTCCAACACTTTAAAGATAAACAGGTGAGTGATCCTTTCTCTGACTCGGGAAAAGTGAACGTCTTTCCTTCTTATTTTACCTCCCCACAGGCCCCTGCAATCGTTCCTGAAGATAGGCCACTCTTTCTCACACACACAAAACCTTCAGAGGTTATTATTCTTTGGTGATCTGGAATGGCTTGTGAACCTTTAAAGAGATAACCGTTCCCGGCTTTGAAGAGACAAAATATAGGACAGCTGAGAAAAACAGAGAAGATTAAAAATAGCCAGTGGTTAAAGAGGGCCAGTTATCTCTGCTCAGCTTCTTTGCCTCCCCCATATACATCGGATGCTACTGACTGGCTCCTTGTCCAGGGACTCTGGTTGAACAGCACTGGAAACAGAGGATGAGGTGCAAAGCACCACTTGGCACACAGGCGCGACTACGCAATGCATCGTGCGATCTTTTATGGCTGTTGCAAGGCTTGGCACAGCTCCATTTTCATCCGATCAGATGATGTTCACCTGAGGTTATTAAGACGAGTTAGCATCTGCATATTCGTTGCTGTATCATAGGAGGGATGGTAATAACACTGCCTTGGAAATAAAGTCGCCCACAAAGGACCTGTGATATGGGCTGGGCTGGTGGTCATCACAGAGTCATACCAATGATCTGCGCAACCCGTTGCTGTTTGACCCCTGATGAGCAGCAGCTCTCCAAAATACCAAGCAAAGGTCTCTTTCTCGGTCTACACTGCTACTTGAGATCGCTTAAACAGAGGTGGCATTGATTGTCATTCGAAGAACATGCTCTAATACGGTTATTATGATTAACCTACCTACCCCGCCCCATTAAAATATAAAGCCTCTGAAACGGGGACTGCAGGTTGGGTTGGGGCTCCAGTTTATCCAGTGGTGGTAATCCTCACTTTACTGAATGCAAAGCCATTAAGAAAACCTCATAGCGAGTCATTCAAAAAAAAGGGGGGGGGATTTCAAATTCCAGCTGCAATAGGAGAGTAGCAACAGGATAAGTCAAGCCCTCCATAATCATGTGCAAAGAAGGCCTCTTTAACCCAAGCAGCTCCCTGGATGGGTGTGGGGAGGACCAGCAGTTCCCTAGAGTACAGCTGCTCCATTCCTGTTCACTGTCCCCACCCCCAGCTGGCAGCAGAAAGCGTCGTTGGGCAAATGAATTTTGCTTTCATTGTTTCCATTCCCAGAGCATGGCATGTTTTAGTGGTTTTAAAAAATAAAACATATATATATTTATATATATATACACACACATACACACACACATTAAAGATATCTAGTCAGACATCACGATAGAAGTCCTTAGTGCATTTGCTGTCACTGGTTGCCACTCTGACTGCCTTGACTTGCATCTGTTGCGCTGTAAGCTGCCTGAGCCCAGCTAACAGTCTGGGTGGGAGCAAGGAGGAAGAAAGAGGGTGGTGGTGGGGAAATCAAGCCTCCTCCTTCAAAAGGAGATCGGGGCCACAAGTCTTTGCCAGTTTCCAGTGCGTTTGCTCCAGCAGGCAGTATATTGTCCATCCAAATGGCTGTGTTTTCTTTCTTCTGTTTATTTCCCACCCCAGTTTCTTCCTTTCGGGACAATGCTGAAATGCAATTAGGTGAGAAGTCGAAGGGTAAACTTTGGTGGGAGAACGTCCAGCGAGCAAGGGATCAGGAAGCACCATTGGCCGTCCAAAAGTAGCATTGAGGCGGATGGACGGAGAGAAACTCTGAGGACCCCATGGGGGCAATACAGCAAATATATTAAATAATAAACCTGGAAGAAAAGCAACCAGAAAAAGTAGGTTTAAGAGTCCATCATGTGCTCAGTTCATCCTAGTTATTCTTTATGATGATGTGCTATGCCCTGCCTACAAGAAGGTTAATAGCTGACAGGCTGCTACTCTATACAGTGGTGCCTCGCAAGACGAAATTAATCTGTTCCGCGAGTGTCTTCGTCTAGCGGTTTTTTTGTCTTGTGAAGCAACCCTATTAGCGGATTAGCGGATTAGCGCTATTAGCAGTTTAGCGGCTATTAAAGGCTTAGCGGCTTAGCTGCTAAAAGGCTATTAGCGGCTTAGCGGCTTAGAAAAAGGGGGGGGAGCGAAAAAAATCTCAAGACTCGCAAGACATTTTCGTCTTGCAAAGCAAGCCCATAGGGAAATTCGTCCTGCAAAGCAACTAAAAAACGGAAAACCCTTTCATCTAGCGGCTTTTCCGTCTTGCGAGGCATTCGTCTTGCGGGGCACCACTGTACAAATGTACTTATCATCCAGTTTGCTTACTTTAATCTCAATCTAAAGTTTTGGTTTCTCTAGAATTGGGTTTTTTTGCTCTTTGTGGGGGGAAACAGTGTGGTGGTAGGAAGAGTAGCTAGGGGCGGTGGATGGAGTGCCATAGAATCATATAACTGTAGAGCTGGAATGGACCCAAGGGCCATCTAGTCCAACCCCCTGCAATGCAGGAACCTCAGTTAAAGCATCCATGACAGATGGCCATCCAACCTCTGCTTAAAAACCTCCAAGGAAAGAGAGTCCACAACCTCCCTAGGGAGACTGTTCTAGGCACAAATGGGCATGCTCTTATTACGCTCTATTTAATCTCGGAAAAGCCATTTTTGCTACACTTAAAGCCATTTTTCTGTTCAGTCTTTCTCAACCTGGTGTCCTCCAGATAATTTGCACAACAACTCTCTCATCAGTCTCAGTCGGCATGGCCAATGGAAACATCTGGAGGGCAGCCGATTCAGGAAGTGGTCTATCCCATCTCAAGAAGCAAGCTGCCAGCCTGACAGACCAGTCTGTTTGTTCCTTGCCTTTGATTAGGTCTTCCCAATCAGCAGAACTATGCGTCTGCTACACCTATTACGCCTTCCTTCCTGGACAGGTGACAGACCACTAAGCCTAATCAAAGCTGTGCACAGTCACAGTGCTCCTTGATAAGACAAATCCCAGTGGAGGAAATATTTATTCCTTGTCTCTTCCTCTCATTCTTTGGCTTCCTAACATGAATGGCAAATTAAGTTTGATTTCCATGTGACTCACAATGGAACAACGTTTTTAATGATTCTGAGCTACATGGGATTGATGAGCCCAACCGTCTCCAACTGCTTGACAACGTTTGTTGTAAGAGGCAGATTTGCAAAGCTACTTGGGCACCTTCCATTGGTAAACATGCTGCCTGCTGGATAGTCTCACACTGAGACTACCACACTGTGCGCCTGATTGAAACTTACGCAGCAAAGTGGGTGGGTGAGTAAGCAGCGACAGGCATGGAAGCTGCAAGGAGGAAACTTCCAATGGGTACATTAGCTGAAGTAGGCTTCCTCATGAGTAAACATTGTAGAAGGAGCTTTGCTACGGGACACACAGGAAGTTGCCTTATACTAAGTCAGACCATTGACTCAGTTGTCAACACTGTCTATTGGCTCTTCAGGATCTTTGGCCTACAAAGATGCGCTCTGTTGCTGTGCCACGGCCTCCCCTTGTGACAGAGCACAACTAATTTCTGTGTGAAACTGTCATTTTAATTCTGCTTCCAGCCGATTGCCTGTACAAAAGCACAAGTGGTGTTCTTGCGATAGAGGTTCCTGTGCATTCACAACATGGCGGCTGTGTTTGTCGCAGTTACCTGACATTTGCACTTTTGCCCGCCGGCATCTTCTATGCTGGGAAGATTTCTTTCAGGGCCTTCTTATCGTGCACATGCTTGAACTTCCGATGCTTCCTCTTTTGTGGTGGCAACCGGTGCGCTCGTGCCCTTGCTGGAAGAGAAGCCCGAGTGCTCAGTGGCGGCCCACCTGCTAGGAAAGGAAGGCGCATGAAATACACACTGGCAGGCAGCAGCTCATGGAGATTGCTAATCAAATTCTTCTCTTCCCAAACGCCTTCCCTGACGTTACTTCTGACTCTTCCCCACCCATCCAACCCTCTGTAGTGCTCACCTCTATGCTCTCGTGAGTTTGGCCGGCTGAACACTCTGGGTGATACTGCTTCACATCGACATTCCAGGTGGTCTTCCAAGGCCACAATGGCTTTATTAAAGACTGGTTTCTTTCGGACAATTTCAATCTTATTTACCTATTGGAAGAGATTAAAAACAACACAAATCTGTCATGTGTGTATATATAAAATATTAACTTCAGATCAACCAGCACCATTGATGTTATATATTTATATACATTTTGAAGCCCTTTGCAGCTTATGTGAAATACGGATACAGCAAAGTTCTTTATAAGTACCAAAATCACTTTCTTGGGCCTTCAGGATCATTTTTCTGAAACCAACCCAGTAATCATGAAAGTGCATTGTGAGATGCACCATGATCTAGGAATTGTCAAGCTTGCCATGTCGGATCCTATATCGGGATAAGTTGGGTCCACAGGAATGGAAGAGATGGAGAGTGCATTCAGCCCAACCTCTTTGAAACAAAGGCCACCCATCCATCTGTGCCTGTCCACCTGCCACATTGTGTTTCACAAGTGCAGAGCAGGTGCGTTGCAAAATGATATCTGCACAGCGAATAGGTCCATGTCACTCCAGATAGCTGTAGCATTGCTGCTGCTTGCTAGGAGCAGAATGGGGCAGGGCAACAGCAGTGTGCACAAGTGCAGCGGCATTTACACCTGCAGCCGGCAACAGGATACTTCCCTGCCCTCGCTGCCCCTCTGCAGCGCTTCATCACACTCCTGGTGCATGGCAGCACCACTGCAGACAGGAAGGTGGCACAGTGGTGGTACTCATACTTTTTTTCCTAGAAAAATAGGTGCCGGTACTCACCATGAAGTTGTTAAAGTAAGTGCCAAACTTCTTAACAACAACAACAAAAGAGGTGCCGGTACTGCATGCCCTTGAGTGCCCCCTAAAAAACACCCAAGCACTGGTGGCACTCAATTCATGTGCCACAACTGATTATAGGACCAGGGAGTCCAAGTAATAACTGCTGCTTACATCTGGAAGAGATGGTAACTCTGCTGAAGGCAATTGGAAGTTACCACTGAGCATAGAGCTGTTTCCTGCCTGAAGGCTTCACCACGACCATTTTTTCTCTTAATGCACCGCTCTGCACACGTCAGGAAACATGCTTCTGGCTAGACAAACATTTCCAACCAAACAATGCAGGCACCTCTATTTTCAGAGGAAGCATTTCCAGGTCACATTTTCTTGGCTGCCCTTTGACCTCTGGTTTGCTTTTTTTTCCACGAAAACAACTCCCTCTGCTGCTTTCTTCTTCCTCCCCGCGGCCCCATTTCATTCTCTCTATTCAGTGTGACTTTCTAGAGAAAGGAATTTCCTGGCAAATGTATGGTGTAATATCTTCCCACCCCCGTGCCTTCTTACTATGGAAGACCCCTGGAATCCTCCCTCATGCATAGGTCAACCAAGGGAATCTGCATTGTATTTTTAAATGATTTTTAAAGTCATTTGTCTGGGAGGAAGTGCAGAGATCACTTATTGGCTGGATATTTAGCAGGATCAGAATGAGAGGTCAGCTGGCAAGTATCCGCTTACAGCACATCCAGACAAGAGAATGAGGAGGAGCTGCTGGCTTAATGGAGTATTTGCTGGAAGAGCAAGTGCACTGGCATGGTAAAGAAGAACAGGTCAGCATCTTCAGATCTCCCGGTACTACCCTTAAAGGGTAAAGGTAAAGGGACCCCTGACCATTAGGTCTAGTCGTGAACGACTCTGGGGTTGCGGCGCTCATCTCGCTTTACTGGCCGAGGGAGCCGGCGTACAGATTCCGGGTCATGTGGCCAGCATGACTAAGCCACTTTTGGCGAACCAGAGCAGCGCACAGAAACACTGTTTACCTTCCCGCCAGAGCGGTACCTATTTATCTACTTGCACTTTGACGTGCTTTTGAACTGCTAGGTGGGCAGGAGCAGGGACCGAGCAACGGGAGCTCACCCCATCGTAGGGATTCGAACCGCTGACCTTCTGATTGGCAAGTCCTAGACTCTGTGGTTTAACCAACAGTGCCACCCGTGTCCCAGTGCTACCCTTAGCTGTGAGTTTTAACGTTTTTTCCAATAGTCCTATTAAGTCATTCCCCCTCACGTGTATCAAATGATTAAAAACAAAGGCATGCACTGCAATTCTACGTGTGCTGCTTACTTGGTAGGTAAGTTCCACTTACTAACTCACAAAGTAAGTTCCATTGTGTCAAATGGTACCTTCTCCCTAGTAAGTGTGCTCTAAGGTGGCAGCCTTAAAATCTACACTTCTGCCTTGATATAAAGGCCGCAGGAAGGAGCCTTTTGCATTATTACAAAGATGCATCATGTTACACATTTTCCCGTCTTCATGGGATGAAAAGTTCCAGGGCCAGTGCTACTGGATTTAGTTTCCTTTAGCACTGGAGACTCACTTTAGTAAGAAATATGCAAGAAGAGCATAATGAAAGTACAAAGACAACACTTTCAGCAGGCTGTTGCTTCCCCATGTAAACTTCACTCCCCCGCCTCCCAAAGCAGGCCTTTGTCTTTGTCTACCTGGATGTGGCGCTCACGGACCCGCGTGGCGCGGCACTGCATGTTTCGGGTATTGCAGCAGCCTGTGCACCGCTGCACTTCCACACATGGCGGCCACACCAGGAAGTTGGCGTTGGTGGGATCCACCATAGTCCGGGAGATTTCAAAGACTTCTGTCCGTGTCTTGCACTCTGCAATTACTGCTGGCTCCACAGGTTCTCCTCCAACTGGAAAGATCCAATAAGAAAAGCTATTGGCTTAATCAACAAGGACTATATTCTTCCCTATTCCATTCAACTGCCTGTCCAGTTTTAATGGGTATCTCATATTACCCACATCATGATCTGCGGAATCAAGAGCACTGTTGCACTGACATATTGGCCTTGTGTGAGATGGCAGGGCTATAGAAAGTACAAATTCATGTTTATGGAGAAAGGTGTGGGGAAACTGGGGGTAATTTCTCACACATCCTTAGAAGCTACTAGGAGCCTTGGTAAGTCTCTTGCAATTGTCAAAGAGTGGAGGTTATTTCAGGCAACACAGAACTGCGTCGTTCTTCAAGCCCCTGATATTTGCCCCTCTGCACTGAACACCTGGATTGCTCAGTTGGTTAGAGCATGGTGCTAATAACACCAAGGTTGCAAGTTCAATCCCCATATGGGACAGCTGCATATTCCTGAATTGCAGGGGGCTAGACTAGATGATCCTCGGGGCCCTTTCCAACTTTACAATTCTATGAAAACTCCTTAAAAACACAATCACCAATACCCTGTTTCTGTTTCATTCCAACTGCAGAACTTCAGGTTTTTCCATTGCAGAATCTGAGTGTTGAGCTTTCTTTTAAGGAATTAGAATCTCAGGGGTTGTATCCAACTTAGCTGCACTCAGAGCAGACACACTGAAATTACTGGACCTAAGTTCATAATGCCCATTATTTATTATATTTCTTTCCTGCACTGCCTCCCAAAGCAGTTCAGAGCAACAAACAATGTGTCTGCTCTGAGTGTGATGAATGCTGGACACCACCCCATATCTCTCAGCTAAATTCCCAAGGTCAGAGAAACAGGGTGGTAGTCAACTAAAGTTTTACTCAGAGTAGACACATGGAAATGAATGGGCCTAACCCGGCCATGTCCATCAATTTCAATGGGTCTACTCTGAGTAAAGCTTTGTTGGCCCTCACCCACAACTTTAGGAGTTGACCTCAAGCATGTAGCCTTACGTCTCTGGAATTGCAACACCAAATGAATACTATCCCGTGTAAAAGGTATCTGTTTTATCTAACCACATTTGTAACCCTGTCCTTCTTCACAACAACCCTGTGAAGTAGGTGAGGCAGAAAGGGACTGGAACTCAACTTTTCCAGCTCCTAGTGCAACACAATCTACTACACCAAGCTGGCTTTGATGGGATGGCACCTAAAGTTATAAGAAAGCTCACAAAGCTGTCATATTACCTGAAGAGAAAGACACAGTGATGCACATTTGGTTCATGGTGTCTACAGTGCCAGCCTTGTGCTTAAATTCCCTCACATAGATTAGATATATCATGACTGCAACTTACCTAGACTTCGTCTCCCTCGGAGAAAAGAAACAGGATTTTGACCAGGATGTATTCTGGTAGTATTCAGGTATGAAGTGGAGTTATCTTCTTCTGCAAAAGAAAACACACACACATAAACTGTAATTGACAGTAATGCAGTGGAAAGGTTACATTATCAAAGTATGTACATGGAGATAAACATAATTTAAAAGGTGGAGACAGGAGAGACGCTAGTGCAGGTAAATTACTACTGTGTCTCCTTAGGGTAATCATTAGGAAGGTCAATGAGGGTTAATTGCAATGAGTGTAGTTCTGGGAGTGTGTAGGATAGTTCATACGCTTTCCAGTAAAACCTCCATAAACTGCAGCCTCTCTCCCAACCAACCAAATGTATATAAATTGGTTTATTTTCCAGGGACTTGCTGAGTCTCCATGCTTTATTCTGTATATTTGCCAATCACACACAGAGAGAACGAGCATGAAAGTGCAGGGAGCGAAGATAAATCTTAGAAAGGCAATAGAAATGTAAAGGAACTTGATCAGGGGCCACAAGGAAGACGCACAGTCACGCCAAGCAAGGAATCTCTACCTCTTCAATAATGGGATTCTTTTATAAACGTAACCCTGCAAATGTACATTGCAATTGTCAGAAAGACAAGAAACATAGCTTTAAAAAATAAATAAAAGTACAGTGGTGCCTCGCAAGACGAAATTAATCCGTTCCGCGAGTCTCTTCGTCTTGCGGTTTCTTCGTCTTGCGAAGCACGGCTATTAGCGGCTTAGCGGCTATTAACGGTTTAGCGGCTTAGCGGCTATTAACGGCTTAGCGGCTTTAAGAAAAAGGAATCAAACTCGCAAGAACTCGCAAGACGTTTCGTCTTGCGAAGCAAGCCCATAGGGAAATTCGTCTTGCGGAATGACTCAAAAAACGCAAAACCCTTTTGTCTAGCGAGTTTTTCGTCTTGCGAGGCATTCGTCTTGCGGGGCACCACTGTAAAGACAAAGCTAGCTGTTGGATAGCTCAGTTGGTAGAGCACTAGACTCTTAATCTCAGAGTTGTGGGCAAAAGATTGCAGGGGGTTGGGCTGGATCACCATCATAGTGCCTTCCAACTCTACTATTCTATGATTTTGTTATTCTATTAGGAATCCACATTCTGTACCAGATGCCAACTTTCACAAAATTGGGATTGTGGCAAATAAACAGCTTTAAGAGTATGCATATCTCAGCAGCATACCCTTGAATGGTTGAAATGGAAAATGCTACTCATTTCATGTGAACATGGTGTAATTTACAGAGCAGCAGTGAGCAAGCCCCGAGCCACTTCCATGGAATTAAGTAACAAGCAGTGTGCCAAAGACGTTAACTTTAAAATATATTTCTCTACATTCCAGGAAACATGTTTTTAAAATATTTGGAGATGTTATCGGCTAGCAGAATTTTAATGTTACACCATATCTACCTCCCAAATTACTAAGATTTTTTCCTCTAGCATTCCAAAATACCATGCATGTTACTTGTTTTGTAAATTGTTCTACAGCAATTCCCCCAGTCTTTCTCTGCCTGGGAAAAAAAGGCTTTTGCGCAAAATGGAGAGTGGAGAGTAGCTGGAGAGCAACCTGCAGACTGAATCGCAACAAAGACCAGTCAAATATTGCAGCCTCTAAATAAGGAAGCACCTATTGTGCCATCTGAAAGAGCAACACAAAAACTTCAACAAACCTGTAACATATAGTGGAAAAACCATATTCCGAACCTACTGTACTGGTGCAGCTGGGACTGGTATAGCACAACCCAGAATGGGTTGACTGGCAGCAACTCTCAGACTCTTAGGGACTGGTGCAGATCTTTTACATCATCTGCTATTTTATTCTTTTGAGTGGAGGGGCTAGGGTCTGAACCTGGGATCCTTTGCATGCTAAGCATGTGCTCCACAAATGAGGTATGCAGTTCTTCCCATCTCACTGGCTCACAGAGAAAGAAAACCATATGTTAGTTTTTTTAAAAAAAAAAAAATTCACAAAATATAGAACTGAAGAATAAAAGAAAAAAGGAAAGAAACAGAAGAATAAAAGGGGGGAGGATAGATACATTACATCCATCCATAATTCTATTCCATCTATTTCCTGTCCATCCTTCCATGACTCCCTAAAGTTTCCCATTCCTGCTGCATATTTTTCCTAACTATTTAAACATTCAAATTCTTCTCATTATAAACTATAACTGCTGAGTTTACTCCAAACTGACTAAAGTTCTAACATTTTCACAACGTTTTTAAGGTAGTCTACAAATGGCTTCCATTCCTCTTTAAAACTTTTCTCTTCTTGCTCTCTAATTTTGGTGGTTAAGCTTGCTAATTCTGGATATTCCATTCATTTCATCTGCTGCTCCTTCTTTGTAGGTACTAATCTCTGTGCGTATAGGATTCTCGCTGCTGTAGTGGTATACATGAATAAACTTACTAGCTTACTTGGTACCTCGGACCTCATTATTCCTAACACAAGCATATGTTAAATTTTAGGCACTGAGGGTAGCCTGCAAGAGATGGAAAGGCCTGCCAGCTTTCAATTCAGTTCCCTATGAGCACACCCATGTGTTTTCCCATAGGAAATGCTGGAGAGAGCAATTCCCGTCACACCTCCTAGACTTTCCCTGGAGCTACCAGTCCCTCTAGAGTCTAGAACAATGGCAATTTTTGATGATAGATCCTGCTCAGCTGCAGGTCTTTCCTTGTTTGAACTACTCACTTTGTAAGGGGAATCAGGACAGGTGCCAATATTATGGTATTCATGTGGATTGTGAGGCTCAGGGAACTGATGGCCTGTGTTTGTCTATGGAACACAGAATGAAAACAAGCTTTCCACACACATACACCACCAGCAGACATCTTTATGGCCAAATGAACCACAGCCACAAATTTTCTACATGGGATTCAATATCAGTATCCCAGGGGATGGCGTGAAGGGGCGTGAGATTAACCACCTTGAGGAAGCTAAGCAGGTCAGGGTCTGGTGAGTGCTTGAATGAGAAACCTCCTGGGAACTACATGCATACGGCTTTGGGTTATGTGACGTAAGAAAGGCAGGGGATATAAATAAAACAAATATTTCTCTCCCTCTCTCGCAACACTAGAGGACAGCCAATGAAATTAAATGTTGGGAGATGCAGGACAGACAAAAGAAAGTACTTTCACACAGCACCTCCTTAAACTATGGAACTCGCTCCCTCAAGAAATTTGGATGACTTTAAAAGAGGGTTATAGGGACACGGGTGACACTGTGGGTTAAACCACAGAGCCTAGGACTTGCTGATCGGAAGGTCGGCGGTTCGAATCCCCACGACGGGGTGAGCTCCCATTGCTTGGTCCCTGCTCCTGCCAACCTAGCAGTTCGAAAGCACACCAGTGCAAGTAGATAAATAGGTACCGCTCTGGTGGGAAGGTAAACGGCATTTCCGTGCGCTGCTCTGGTTCGCCAGAAGCAGCTTAGTCATACTGGCCACATGACCCGGAAGCTGTACGCCGAGATGAGCGCCGCAACCCCAGAGTCGGCCACGACTGGACCTAATGGTCAGGGGTCCCTTTACCTTTACCTAAAAGAGGGTTGGACAAATGCATGAAGGAGACAAATGCATAGGTTCTGCTGCACTGTCAGAGGCAGTGCGAATCACAAGTGGGGCAAGTGCTGATGTGCTTTCGGGCTTCCCACAGGCAACACCCCACTTCCCAAGGGAATGTGAAAGATTAGTCACTGGAGCAAAACTGTATCTCTTATTCATGCGTTAGGGCCTGCTAGGCTCTTCCCTGACCCTCTTCCATCCCCTGTTCTCTGGAATTTTATCAGGCTAGGGTGGGGGTTGCATTTGCGCAAAGGTTAAACAGACAAGGAAAAAAATAGCCGCGCTGTTGACTTGAAACAAATCTTCTATTGAAAAACAGAGTTCTCCCCTCGACCCCACCCCCCCTTCCCCCAAGGGTACCCTTCGCCTCAATATATGGGCAGTGCAGCTACTACTGATGGGGAGAGCACGCCCAGCCTTGGAAAAGCCAGTGCTGCTAATTTTGGAAGCCGTGCTATTGTACGGCTTTGTGGAATCCAAGTTGGGGGGGGGAGACTAGCCGCTTTTCTCTAAGGGAAACAATAGCAGAGCACAGCTGGTGCCCTCCCTCTGCCTTTCCCTCCTCCACTCTCGGGCATTTTTGAAAGGGAGCGGGAATGCTTTTGAGAGCGCGCCAGTGGTCCGACTGGCATAGGAAACAAAAGCAGGAAATTCTGTTCCCCCGTAGATAGTGTCTCGGCAAAGATTACAAAGCTACAAACAGTCAAACACAAGAGAGAAGGCCGGGGGCTGGGAGGGGGGCAGGTGGCGGGCAGGGAGGACAGGCGGGAGCAAAAAGGCTATAGTAGAATGGAATTCACTCTGAAGAAAACGTTTATAAATACATTCCAGGGCCAACCCGGTGGCCATGACGTGTGCTCACATTCCTGCACGTGCCAAAAACCTCCTCAGTCCGGCCGCTGCTGGGTGACCTCAGTCATGTGGGCAGGTATCCCCAGAGCCCCACCACAAAGCCAGAAAAAAAATCCATTATCCAGGCACCATGATAAAGCAGCAAATCTGCTCCCTTCCAGCTGCCTTATGTTGCTCATTTCTTCTTTCCACAGGGGAGAAAAGAGCAGAATTCTAAAAATGAGACAGGGCAGCTCCAACTGCACTATGAATCATGGAAGGCTATAGATTTTTCTAGTGAAGAAACTGATGTAGTTCCCAGACTCCTGGAGACCTTTGCCCTAATCTAAAAGAAACACAGTGTGGGGTTTGTTTGTTTGTGTGTGTGTGTGTGTGTGTGTGTGTGTGTGTGTTGTTGTTGTTGTTGTTGTTTTTAAGTGCTAATAATAATTCTGGAGGGAAAGGAGAAATCTTGTTAAAAATAAAAACAGAGCTATTCATTAGCTAGCTGAGCCTTGAGGGTATTTCTTAATGTTCCTTTGTACCTCCTGTATCCACTTCACGTCTGCCACACCCTTGCAGTCACATCCCAGCTTGCGTGTGGGTCCAGGTTTAAACAACGGTAGCCTTAAATGCATTTTGACCTAAGAGCGGTGCCTACTTATGCAGAATTGAAAGTAATCATAATGCATGTGGAGCTATACTAACCAAGACTTAACATAATTCAATGGGACTTGCTCCCAGATAAGTGAGGTTAAGACAACAAACTTATTCAGAAGTGAATGCCTCCGAGTTCAGTAGGGCTCTCCCCTCCACATAAGAGTGCTTAGAACTGCAGCCTTCCCTGCCTGTACGCCAGATAGCACTTCATTAATCCCAGCAACCACCTTTTGTGGAAGCCCAACTTTATTATTCACAGATTACTGATTAGAAAAGTGAAGCAGATCAAATCCGCACCATGCATATAAAGCACATGGCTTCCCCCAAAGAATCATGGGAACTGTACTTTGTTGGGGTGCTGGAAATTGCAGCTGTGTGAGGGGTACAGTACAGTTCCCGGGGTTCTTTGGGGAAAGCCTTTTGCTTTAAATGTGTGGTCTGGATGTGATCGTGATTAGGAGCAGTTGCTGGAAACTGCAGGAGTGGGTGAGGGCTCTTGCACTTGGCTTTTGTTTGTGGGCTTCCCACAGGCATTGGCTGGCCACTGGTTGCTAGACTAGATGGGTCAGTGGCCTGATCCAATAGGCTCTTCTTACATTCTGCAAAATACTTGGGTTTCCTAAGGCCCTTCTAGCAAGTCCACAGCTGAGGCTAATTTTAAATTTAAGATTTCTTGGCTCACAGCTCATGCTCTTGGCTGCTCTCCTACAGCAGCTATGAAGGCATGGAAGAGAAGGAGACAGGCAATGAAAAGAAAGAAAGAAAGAAAGAAAGAAAGAAAGAAAGAAAGAAAGAAAGAAAGAAAGAGAGAGCATGCCGGGTGGAGGTGGCATCAGTGTGGCGTTTGTTCAAAAGAGCCACATAGCAACAGCTATATTTGTTAAGTCTGCATGAGCCATATTTTATTCAATAGGTTACATGTTAAGCTGTGTTTCAAAATGTTTATCTCTAAGAGAGGTATGTTTTATTACACTTGCCGCCCTATTAAACGTTTCCTTCATCTAGATTTGCCTTTGGCAATTCCTAGTGAATACTGTTGAGCTAAAGTTTCTCAGAAAACAGAAGGAGGGGGGAGGAAGAGAAGAGTTCAGCAGCTAGGAGCCAGGACTCCTCTGCTGTTACATGCCACAATATTTCCATGTATACAGTCATCATGCAAAGTAAGTTCCCAGAGGAGTTTTCTTTCTTTCTTTCCTTTTTTATTTTTTGCAACTGTGCTAATCCTTTAGCAAAGGGCAGCTTCAAACATTACATAATTTACAGGTACGCTGCATTGGCACCAAACATATGTGAGAGCTTCATGCATTTTTACTGCCAAGTGCACATGTGGGAGGGAGCTGTGATGGGTCCCCACTCCCCACCTCTCATACACTTGGAGTACCTTGGGCATGTAGCCATCTCACATAATACATTGTACATGAGATATAATGGGCTGAAAAGGGCATATATCCCATAGCGCCCTAGGTCCGGTTCCACCTCCTGCTCAGACTTGTCTGCCAGCAGTGGAGCTGTCTCCTCTTCTGCTTTCCATATAGATTGTGCTGCAACTAGCATAATCTTCCTAGAGTTCCCAGGCTTCCTGCAGGACTTCCAGCTGGTAGAATTACATTCCTGCCACTATTTCAAGGGGGCTGCAGCTCATCCTCACTTGTGGCTCTGGACTGGAGGAATGCATGGCTCTATGAAAGGGCCACACATGTTTTCCTGTTTTATTTCTTTCACCGCTTGAGATGATGGACAAGTAGGATCCAGTTTCTGGATCAGTTGCATGGAAGGTAAGACTATGATCCCAGTCATTTATTTGCCCATACACTCAACCTTTCCATTTTTTGGCCCATGCACCCAACCTTAGGGGAAGGGCTGTACCTCAGTGGTAGAGAATCTGCCTTGCATGCAGAAGCTCCCAAATTCAATCCCCAGCAACTCCAAATAGGAGATCCTCCTGCCTGAAACCCTGGGAGCCACTGCCAATCAGTGTATACAATGCTGAGCTAGATGGACTAATGGCCTGAGTCATAAGCCAGCTTCCTATGTCCCCCATTTTTGTTGTTTCCATCGTGCACATTTCCTAGGAGATCCACTGTGCATAGATCAGATGCCCAGGACAGAGATATAAGCAGGGTATGCAACTGTCCTGTGGATAAGTTGCCACACCCTCACTTTGTGAGCTGTGTGGAAAGGGATTCAGCAACCCAGACGGAGTTAGCAGTCTTAAATTAAGGTAGTGTAAATGATCCACAGACACACTGGGGAAAAAATGTGAGCAGGAATTGGGAAGATGCATGGGATAGTCTTGTCCTCCTATTCACTGACACATTTTGCAGTCCATTCGCCCTCATGCATTTGGTGGGCATGGGAAGGGGCTCAGACTGTGGCCACAACAGATGTGAGCAGGATGGCTTGATCTGAATGCCCTTATTTGTATACAAAACAATATTTTACAACACAACGTATTTCTTATCTGGAGTGAGTGCCCACAGTGGCATCTTGTTGGGTGATAGATACATTTGTTCTTGTCTTACTGTTGCTTTTGACTGGGGTTTAAGGAAGAGAAGCATTCAGTGTTGAGGAGATTTACCTACGGAGTCTATCCGAAGGACCTGCTGAAGGTCTCTGATGGAGCGCAACGAGCTGTCACTCAGCAATTCATATATCTCTTCAGGGATGGGGTCTCCCTGCCAAAGAATAAAGAGAAAGAGAGAGAATAACTGTTAGGGTACTGTAGGTGCCATGTGCCAGTTTTGTACCAGCTACTTCACATGTATCACATGTATCACAGAGAGAGGGACGACGAGACAAAATGTGCACAAGATTGTTCTAAACGGTGGAATCAGAAACTTCAGAGGGTCCAGCAGCCATGAAAATAATCCCTCTCTTTCTACAGTGTGACACTTGATGACTTGTACAATCACATGCCAGTGAATTAAGAGCAGTCTGTTAACAGGCAAATCATCTGGAAAAGCTTTTTGCAGTGCCATCCTATGCATGTGCATGAAAGTCCACTTGCTTACTCTCTTGTAAGTTCCATTTTCCAGCCTTAATGCACACCTTTCTAGTGTCTTTCAAAGGAAAAACCTTATTATACGCCCCCTTGCTATCAAGTTAACTGTTTGAAGATGTTCTCCAGGTGCTTTTTTCCAACCCTTGCTGATTTTATAGTGTTGACCCAGTATATGGAGGCTATGAGAACTGTTAAAACTTAAAGCGCAGAAACGGATGTTGACTTTTCTTTGACAGCTTGATTTCTTCTTTTTGCTTCAAACAAACCATGAGTTTATAACCAAGGTTTGCTCTTGGTTTGCCACTCATTGTTTGCCTGGGAGGAACAAAACAGATGCCCAGGTTTGTAACACCAAATGAAACCATAGCTCAATGTAGCACGGGAGGAGTGCAGTCGCCACAATCTTTGACCTTGAAACTTGCATTTTGTTTGTTCATGCTAAGCCATAGTTTGGTTTAGCATTAGATATGAACTGGGCGATTATTCTCACATGCAGCAGCCTGTAGGTGTTTCTATATATTGGATCTCCATATAGAACAGATATGTTCTGTAGAACAAATGTTATGTGTGGGGCAGACACCAAAAGCATATGGGTCACATTCACAACTTGAGATAGTTCACATAGCACAAAACGGAAATCCGCATGAGGCCAACATGAGATATGCTAATTCTGTACTATGTGTATTCAGTAACTTTGCGGCAGGGATTAGGCAAGAAGGAGATTAAGCAGGGGATGGACACGGGTAATTGATCTAGGTTTTCAAGGAGAGATTACCTACATCGATCCAGTATTCAGCTACAATTGTGCCAAGTGTTTGCCAAGATGTTGTTACACACACATAAGCACACAAAAATCTCCAGGGCAGACTTTTGGAATCCGTGAGTTGAAACACAAGTAAAGTTATGATGAATGGGGGGCAATTCAGTCCCTCCCCCAACATTTGTGTGCGCATGTAGCCTCTTCAAATACACTGGACACAATTCACCATGAGGTTCTCCTGCACAAGCTCAAACTGAAATGAACAGGAGCTATGCAAGAACATGGAAGTGCTTTTCACTGGGTCCCATTAATTTCAGTTAGGGCTTGTACTGGTGGATTGTGGCCATTGTGAAATAAAACGCTCTGGGTTGTATCTGATTTAAGCCATATTCAGAGTGGACCCATTGAAATGAATAGATTTTTGTTATGACTAGCTTATCCCAGTGTTTCTACGCTATCATTCAGTCAGATATAACCCTCTGTATCCATAGAAACTTTCCTGATGTAGAGCCAGACCATTAATCGCTCAGGTCTGTACATTGACTGGCAGCAGCTATCCAAAGTTTCAGACAGGTGTCTTTTTGGGACTTGATCCCAAGACCTTTTGCACGAGATGCCTGTGCTTTTCCATTGAACTGCACTCTTTCCTTTTCGCTATCAAAGTAACAGTTTTTCATTAAAATATGCAGAAAATTAATTGCAACCTTTTATTAAATGATAGGGTCATCTGTGTGTCGTCCCCCCCCCCCCCCGCTTTTCGATATATAATCCCCCTAAAGTTAAAAGCCCAACCCTGGCTGCCTAATATTGCATCAGCTCTAGTTAAAGCCTAACTGCAGAAACAATAAGGAAAAATACTGCTCCATAAATGTTTCTTCATGGCTCATTGTGCTCCCTATTGTCTTTTGTGACGGGGCGGGGGGGGGGGATTGTGCTACAACTGTTGAACTGGGATGTGAATTGCAAGGATTTGTTGCTGCAGCCTGGAGGGACATACCATGTGGATTAAACAGATTTTGCACAGTACTTTGCGGTTCAAAATTGAACTCCACAGAATCATGAAATACAACAATTGTATGGTGTTTATTTGGATACAACCATATTCCCAGCCCAAGACTACTTTCCCATGGCTTGCCTGTATGATCATCAGGTCTGGAAGAGAACAGAAATCAGGTATATCAGGCATGATCCTTCACAGACCTGTTCCAACTTCACAGAGACCAGAAGTACCGGTATTCCAAATAACAAGCCTGGATCAACAAACACTTATTTGCATGTGCAAAGTACCCCAGGGTCTTTCACAAACATTGAACTTTACACTTTTCTATGCTACACAAGCATGCACACGCGCATGGACACAGACAACTTCTGACCACATTCAAGTCATGGTTGGATTGCCAAGCATTTGAGACTGCATATTCTTCTATGTACCAGAGTTATGCAGACTGCACTATTTTGCAGGTTTAAGGTGCAACAGAAATATGTTAAGGGCTTCACATTAGCTGGAAGGGTGGATGGGAGGTTTCCCTCTTTTCAGTGGGATCAGGGGTCTTTTGGTCAACAGTGACAGCAGACGCTCCAGAAAAGGGAACTTTTTAAAAAAGCAATGAGCTTGAAAAAGGATCAGGTACTATTGAGATACTATCAAGACCAGTGTGGTGTAGCAGTTTGAAAGCACACCAGTGCAAGTAGATAAATAGGTACTGTTGCAGCGGGAAGGTAAACAACGCTTCCATGCGCTCTGGTTTCTGCTGCAGTGTCCCATTGCACCAGAAGCAGTTTAGTCATGCTGGCCACATGACCCAGAAAGCTGCCTGTGGACAAACACCGGCTCCCTCGGCCTGAAAAGCGAGATGAGCATCGCACCCCATAGTCGCCTTTGACTGGACTTAACCATCCAAGGGTCATTTACCTTTTATTTACCTAGCAGTGTGTTGAACTAGGGCCTGGGAGATCAGGGATCAAATCCCCACACAACCATGAAAAATGACACCACACACACACACACACACACACACAAAACAACAACAAGTACATGGCAGGCTGACAAACAAGGTGATGGCGGACAACCATCACCTGAACAACTTAGGAGATATTTTGACCCTAAGACTAGGAAGCTTTGTAATGGTGAGGAGATAATGAACATGTATCTATTTTTTGGATTATGCTAGTAAGTCAGACAATTTGCTGCATATTTGTGGGTTTGTTTGTGTTATCTATATCTGCAGGAGGATCATGGCAATGAAGAGCCAGCCCTCACTTACAACCAAGTTAAACCATCCTGGCTTCCCACAAAAGAACCCAGGGAGTAAGGTACTGAGAATTTTCTGTAGGAAATCTCTGGTCCTGCAGAAAAGCCCACAGTTCCTAAGATTCCCCAGGGGAAAGAGAATAACTGTTAAGCCAGTTGGCAGTGGGGCAGATATGTCCAGAGAACACACATCTCCCTCCGGAATCAGTAGCTGGGGGAAATAGCATGAGTGATATCGTGGTGAAATACTGCATATCCTGCTCTCAACACCCCAAGAACTGTATTGGTGTGCTTAACCAGGGAAAACAGATAAACAGAAACATGTAGAAAGTGTTGCACCTGCCAGGAAAAGCAGTTGTGACTTAATAGAGCCATTACTTGGATGACTCTGGCGCTTCCTGATACTTAATACATGGAATATAGAACTTTATTTTAAACTCAGGAACCTCTGAGACATGAGCAAATGCTGAAGGGCTACTGAGAAGTGCAATACGCTCCTGTGAGAACAGGGGAGGAAGGAAAATTGGATGGATGTTTATGGATCAAAGCTCTACTGGAGGAATTGCAAAAGAAGATCATGAGAGGCCAACATGCAAAAGAACTGATTACATGAATTAGAGCTCCACTCCCTGTTCAGAGAGGTGGGTTTAGGTGCCAAGTTTTTCTTGTCAGAGATGTTATCAGTAGGACCAAAGCATGTCAACACACCCAGCTTGTAAAGTACATTATCCTCTGTCTCACAGAGGGGCTTGGGCCACAAAGACTCTTTATTCTCTCTTTGGATCAGTTCTGAAGGCTGAAGTTCTATGAACACTTGTTTAGCAAAAAGTACCATTGAGCTCAGGTGTACTTTCCCAGTAAACATGCTTCGGATTGGGCTGCAAGGGTGTGCGTCTGCACAGAAGGGCTCCATGTGTGAATTAAGGCGCTTCTTTTACTGCTTTCTACACTTATCAACAGGAAACTGGTTTATTTCAAACTGTCCCAGTAAGCTGATGACACAGAGCCCAGTTTAGAAGAGGCACTGTGGGCAGGCAATTATACATACAGGTTCCAGACAAGCAGACATTCATAAGCCTGATAAGGAAAGGTGCCCAGTGCAAACAATGAACAATCCACTCATGCACATGAGTCTGTGAATTAGCTGGGAGAAAGGTGGAATGGCAACAAGGAGGCAGAGCCTGTCTATGAGCCAATCAGGATAGCTGGAGTTACTTTCTTCTCTGCTTTTGGAAAGGTATATGCCCAGAACAGGTTAATGATCTCCTTTTAACTGCTCTGTGGATCAAAGAAGACTCTTGCCTGGCTGGCTATCAAGTGCCTCAGGGCTGGCCTTGCATTGCTGCAAGGCTGCAAATTCCCAGCCCAGCGATTTTTATATCTCTTTGTCTGCCTTGCCTTCCCTTCTTACGGTTTCCCCAGTGGACAGTATGTACTGGCAGGCACAGCCTTATTATGGTCGCTAGTCACAAGGCAGCAGCCACACAGCCAGTACAAGAGCACACACACACACACTTTTTCAACAGCGGCTCATGGACTTTGCTTGTGAGGGCTGGGCTGGGCGGAAGACAATGCCAGGAACCAGATGGGGAGCGTGCATTCTACAACCCAAGGTAGTCCCTGCAATAAACTTCTTGATCTGAGCATTTGAGCCAGGGATGAAGTCTTGAAAGAGGGTTTCTGTTCTGCTGCCCTGCTTAGAGCATCAGGCAGTGCTGGTCCAAGCCATTCTGCTGTCTGAAGCAAAGCCCACATGCCCCCAAGCCATGCTGAAGGCAACACTTTGAAAAGTCTTACTGCACCATTTGGACACCAGTTCCCGCCTTCATCTATCTCTCCTTTCTCCCTCTCCCTTCCACCACAGTGCTTGGCCTCCCTAAGCCACCCCCTAACAACACTCCAAATTCAGACTTTAAAATATTATAAAGTCTGCATTGGGGGTGTTGTCAGCGGGTGGCTCAGGGAGGCTGAGCACTGGGTCTTTTGGATCTGGACCCCAGCTCTTCTGCCTCTTTCCTTCTCTTAAAAAACAACAACCATGGGCCTGCCTAGGATTATGCTGCCTATACTTTCACCGACCCACACCTTCTATTCACTGCCCCCTCCCAAAGCATATCTGTTTCCCTTGAAGCCTGCCAGAGACACTGGCCAGCCCTGATGCCTGCCATTCTGCTTTCCCATTGCCAGCACCATTCATCAGCCTGCTTAAATTCAGCAACCGTGTGCTTGCTGCCGCCTGCATCACCTCACCTAGCACAAGAGAACAGTGGCACAGGAAGTTTTAGGAGTGCATCTGAAGTGTTTTTCCTGGTCCTACCTGGAGCTGTTTGGGATTGAACCTTAGACCTTCTGCATGCAAAACAAATGCTGTACCACTGAGCTGTTGCCTTGCCTCTGCAACCCTTGACAATGGTGCTTACCAGAAGTAGATCACTTCACGCTCCTTCATGGCAAGACCAGCCCTTACAGCAGGCCAGACTCTTAGTATTGATCCTTATCCAGGTCAATCCAAAAGTTTGCAATGACTGCCAATCACAGGGGACACATTGCATATTCCCCTCTGTTTCTCAAGAGGACTCTGGAGCCATGCGCTTTTGGACTGCTTAGCAGCTAAGTTCCAAATCTGGACTATTTTCCTTCCCTCTTTGTTGCCAACTAATCTGTGCAATTCAGTCCTATCTAAAATCATAATCAGAGATTATCTTGGTTTCCCAAGGTCTAAAAAAGTCACATAGCTTTGGATTATTTCAACCACTTCTGTTCTACAACATCTACTGGCCTTTTAGCCTTAAGAGTAGTCCCCCCCCCCCAAGGTAACTAGTACCCAAGGCCACCCAAAATATTTTGGCACTCAAGGCAGAAAATCTTCCAAGCATCTCCCTTCCTGGCAGTAAAATACACCAATAATAAATTAAATTTGCTGCCTTTTCATGACATCCGAAATCAGCTGCCCAAGGCAGCTGCTTCATTCTGTCAAACAGTAGGGCCAGCACAGAATCATTCCCCCCCCCCTGACATTTTTAGTGTCATGGACCATATATAATGAAGTCTGTGAAGGTAGGAATGGAAAAGGCAGCCAGTTTAGTACCCTGCAGGCATGATATAATAGACTGTGATCAAGGGAAGGCTTAGGAGCCACACCTTTTTGCCAAATCCATATGAATGTGGGAGTGCTGCAAAGTCCTGGGAAGTTCCCATGAAAAAAGGCAGGCATGAGCTATGCAGCTCTACAACGTTCCCCATAGCAGCCCCATTACAGTTCAGTAGTTCCTCGTGGTTATTCTGAGGTTCTGGCCGGAAATATATTTCATCCTGACATCATGGCCCCAAGGAAACAAAGATTGTGAAACTGGAGTCTGGGGGTGGTACCAGAAGGAAGAACTTCTCAAGGCTCAGAGAGGAACACCACATGCATTTCTGCGTTCCGTTTTATTTGAAAAGTCATTCTGAGTATCTAGAGTGTCAGGCCAGTGTCATGGAAGATGAGATTGAAAAGGACGCCTTCTGGTTTGCAAACTGCAGGGAAAACCTCTAACACCTTCCCTTGCTCCCAGTTTGTTTCTTTTGTTCCATGAAATAAGAGCAATTCAAGGAACTCCTCCTGGCCCACCTCATTAAGGAACTGAAAGAGAGACAAAAGCCATACATGCCCTCTTGGCATTGGCTCCTCTCCTCCCTTATGGCATTTTAGTTCACCTCTAAACAGATCCAAGCTCCCAACTTTGCAGTTCAACCTGTCCCTTGAGCTACTATATCTTCCTGCTATATTTTGGAAAGGTGTGGATTCTGTTTAAGCCAAAAGATTTACTTTCCTCATAGGAAACAAAATGATAGCGTGAAGAGAGGGGGAGGGGGAACCCTAAACTGCCAATCTGGAAAACGTGATCCAGGCAATGCCAGGTTGATACCCTCACTTTTGCCAACCTGACAGCCCACCCACAAGGTCCCAGCCGAGCTTTTGGAAACCTGTGCCTTACAAGTGATTAACTGCTGCAGCTCTGTGCTATACCAGGGTGGGGTGCATTCTGCACACCTGGAGGACTGGAAGAGCAAAGCAGCTTTTTAACTTTTTTTGAAGATGTTATTTCTCAAAATTGTGCTTGGGGTGGTGGTGGGGAAGCACCGTGACATTCCTCAGCATGGAGTAACATCAACGAGTCCCAGCAGAACCTAGCAAGAGATACACAAGATGACTTAACCCCCAAAGGCCATGGCTTCCGCATTTGGGGAAAATGCCTTTTAACCCTTCTGTTGCCGCACCCAGCAATGGGTGGTCACCTCTGCGAACCTGGCAAACGATCTCCCTTTCATATGTCAGTGAAATCCTCTCTCTGAAGAAGTCTGTTCTTCATGAATAGAGAAATGCCATTTTAACAATGGCCTTGTAAAATAAGAATTCTTTCGTTTGGATTTTCTTTCTCTCTTGGTTCACCTTTGACATTTTAACCCTCGGTCCTCACCAACCAAGATGACCAGAGGACCTTTACTCCCAGCTATCCTTCATACAATGGCAGGTCTTCAGATAAATGCAAACTGGAGGGATTTCCCCCTTTTGGTGAGTCCTAGAAACGTCATTCTCTCCTAGTCCCACACATCAGCTGATGGAGAGGAAGACAGAGGAAGACACACGTACACTCTGCTTTGCTGTTTCGGGTGCCGCCTCATCTGAGCAACCTTCACACACTCTTAATTGCTCTGGTACTTTGTCTGCTCCTCTAGCATACAGGGATTTCCTAGCAGGCAGGTGCTGTCCTCTGCAAGGGGATACATGTCTTGTCAGGGGATGGAATTTCTGCAACCTAATTCCAGATCCAAGTGACAATGCGTATGTGCGAGCATGTGCCTGTACGTGCCGGGGGATGAGTACGCCAAGTAGGATTGGGCCAAATGGCACGGGGACACGTTTCCTTTCAATCCTAGATTACATGATCCATCAAGGAAAGACAAATGTTTACTGCTTTGGGAAGAAATACAACCGGCTGCGTCTATACAACCGCAGTGCAGCCCACATCTCCAACCGCTTCCCTTTATGGCCCAGATAACAATGGGACAGCTAGGGGAAGGAAGGCTTCACACCCACTCACTCCCTTTCCATCACATGGGGGCTGACTCTAATGAAGAAGGAGGATTTGTATCACTTTGGTGGGAGTTTTAAAGATAGGGGCTTTCCCACATCCACTACCTCACTTGAATCTATCCCAACAGACTCCTACTGAGGAGTCACTGGGTAAATTCTAAAGATTTTTGCATCCCCTCCTATCTTTGCAGGATTGTCAGTTGCTGTTTGTGCCATAGATGCAAAAACAGGGTGTGTTCTTAGGATTTATTGAGCCCAGTGCAAGGGAGTGGAGGAAAACATCCAAAACTGAACAACACTGAGTTGGCACAGACCTAGTCCCAGGACACCAGGGGTGGGGAACCTTGGGCCTGGGGTCAACTGCAGCCCTCCAGACCTTGCTATTTGACCACACCTTTCACTAGCCTTTCACTGCACCTTCCTCCAGTTCTTTTGCTTGGCTGGAATGTGTCTTTGAACTGTAATCATGCCCCCTGCTTGCCTGGATGAGGAGTTGTACATGCAGATACCTCTGACTTTTGCATGACTGGACTGTAGCCTACTGTACAGAGCTAAGAGTCAGAGGAAACTAGGCAGAGGGCCTTCTCAGTAGTGGCACCCAACCCAGGCAATGCCCTCACATCAAATGCAAACAGATAAACAACTACACAACTCTCCAAAGACATTTCTGTATGGGGAAGTTTTTAATGCTCAATGTTTTGCTGTGTTTTTATGATGTTCGAAGCTGCCCAGAGTGTTGCCCCAGCCACCACTGACATGCACCTCCAATAAGATTGCCCATGAGAAAATGTGGCCTTCAGGCTGAAAAATATTATTTACCCCACTATTCCCAGCAGAGCACTGAGTCAAATAAAAAAGTAGGGAATGTGGGTGGCTAAGGTGCCACAGAAATAATTGGCTGATTAGTGAATGGCTGGGAATTGGGCTACATTGGGAAAGGAGAGATGCTGTGTTGGGGCTCTACAACCAATGTGTTGCCCCAGTGACTACCACTGTCGGAAGGACAGCTTGCAAAAGAAGTGTGGTAGATTGCAGGACATGCAGAGAGGCTGAAGTAATGTAAAGTTGTTCTGTGATAGTAACGCTCCAGATGAGGACAGCAAGGGAATGGGGCCTGCAGCACGCACTTGGTTCTGTGCAAGTTCACTTCATGGGCTTCTCCAAGTAAGTCTATGAGGCAGCAACCCAACTTTACCGTGTAGATGGAGCTAACCTGGTGCCCTACATATTTTGTTGGACTCCTGCTCTCATCAGCCCTAGAGAGCATGGCAAAGGTCAGGGATAATGGGAGTCATTGTCCAACAACTTAGAGGACACCAAGTTGCGGAAGGCTGCCCTTTGTTTAATTGAGAGGACAGCTTTTGAGTCATTCAGATAAGGTGGTGGCCAAACCAATACTAGATCATGTATATATAAATTGTGCATTTGGAAATAATGTGAAACAGATCTGAACATATTTGAGCTCTTGTCATATGATTGAAGCAACTGTGCCTATCTCTGCTCCAAGAAGTTGACTTGTGTACAAATTGTTTTATTAAATTTATATCCCACATCTTCCTCTAAAGGAGACCACAATTTGTGCATGTGAGCAAATGTGTTCTCCCTGAAGATTACCTGCAGGCATGTCTATGGGTTGCTCAGAGATCCATGTCTCGCCTTAATTTAGGTGAACCCTTGAAGTGAGTGTACATCACAGTATGCAAGCTTACAGTGTCAATGGTGTACTGATGATATCTCAGAAAGACTTAATCTGCTCCACAGCAGACCCCATTCTGTTGGTGTATTCATTGCTATACCATGTTTCAATGACAACTGTATGCTCCTCAGGGGCAGAGACTGTGCCTTTACTTGCCTTCATTAACCATCCTGCATACTTTTGGATGCTTAAAAACAATATATTCATGATGTTCGCTTGCAGGTGTTTTGTCAGTTCATACATGTTTGCTTGAATAGGACTGGAATAGCCATGAAGCTTAATGAATGGTTCACACACTGATTGTAAACAATAGTAGTATATGTACTGACATAAAAAGGGGAGGCAACATGTGAAAGGTTTACTCTTCCCATTACTCTTTAGCCACAGTGGGACAAATTATCTCTTGCCATTAACTAACCTGGACATTTTACTTAGATACCAACCTATAAAGCAAATAAATGAATAGCACTTATTATGTTTGTATTCAGATACAGAACTCTTTGGAATATATGCAATAGGAACTGGCCTCAGCTCACATTTTTTTAAAGGAGAATTTATATCCACCATAGTTCACTGATAATGCAACATGTACATGTCATGCACTTTGATATCTATAACCTGAGATGAAAGTAGACTGCAAGATGTAGCCTGGTTTACAGCAGACTAGCCCCAAGCCAGAGAAGCGGATCTCTGCATGGTTTGAGAAAAAAAGTATAAAGGCCATTTACGCAGGAGTTACGTTCCGAGGCACCGCACGTTTAAGTGAAATTGCGTATATTTGAAACACCACGGGGGGAAACCTGCAAGCACCCTCTAAACTTCTAGAAACCCTTGAAAACCCCTTAAAAAAACCAGTAGCACTTATCAGACACCAAATTTCACCACAATCGCTCCCTCCAAACCTCCTTGCTCAAACACCAACTCTCCCCAGGTCTCAACAATTGGTGCAAGGGCTCCTGGGGTGGGATTGCTAGGTGCTGTTTTCGTGCCCTTTTGGGACTCTTTTAGGGCCATTTTTAAAGTCACTTCCAGGTTCGGGTGCATAAATTGGTTGTTGCCTGTACTATAGAATTTTCTAAATTACATCATCTCTTCATCGGTAGGATACAAAGGAAAGCTAACATTCTAACGAAGAAAATAAGGTAGCTTAAAACCCAATCCTATGCCATGGAACCCAATGGAGCTCTTTCCTTTCTAAGTGTGGCTAGACTTGCAATTTTGGTGTAGTATATTATATCATTTTTAAGAATGTAATTACAACAAAATAAAATATAGTGCACTAAACAAATGTTTATAATGGGTGTACAAAGAGATGGTGTAGGTTGGGGCTGTAAACTTGAAGCCACTCTTATTGCAGGGATACTTCCCTGGAGTTACAGGTATAACTATACCAGTGCAATAATGCTGAAGCACTGTGTAGGTGTGTGAAGATTGACTTATTAATATACCATCCTTCCTCACTGGAGTTCAAGCCAGGATACATGGAGTTCACCCTTGCTGCTACTTTGTGACGAGGATAAATACTGACTAGCCCAAGGTCACTTAAAAGAACATAATGGCTCAACGGGAACTTAACTTAGACCTTCTCAAATTTGAGCTCAAACCTTCTCAAATCCAAACCCAACTCTCTCCAGTACTGGCCTCCATTTATTTTTGCAGATGCACCGCAGGCAAAACCATCTTGCCAGGTAGGACCTTTTCCTACCCCCGCACTTTCAAGCTGAGAAAAGCTTCACCAGTTGAATTTCTTCCATGACACTGTTGGAGTGCTGGAGCTTCTTTGGTGGGGTAGGGAAAGAACTAAAAACCACCCAGATCGGCCTGAAAAGCAAAAACGAACACACCCACAAGCAGCAGGAGAGCAAGGAGAGGCAGGCTCACCCCTACCATTCCACAGAGGACTCTACCTTTTTGGTGTCATGAAAAGGAAGGAAATACCGTATTTTTTGCACCATAACACTCACTTTTTTCCTCCTAGAAAGTAAGGGGAAATGTCTGTGCGTGTTATGGAGCGAATGCCTACGGATGGCGGGGGGATCTGCTGCAGTCGTGAGCAGAGGATCCATGGTTCCCCTTCCTTCCCTCCTCCGTGGCTCACTTTGAAACAGCAAAGCAGGAGAAGAGCCGCTGAGTGGGGAGGAGAGAGGGACAGAGAGCCTGCTTGCTTTAAAGGAGCAAAGCGGGAGAGGAGAAGAGCCGCTTACACGAGTGTAAGCGGCTCCTGTCCGGTTGGCTCCTTTAAAGCAAGCAGGCTCTCTGTCCCTCTCTCCTCCCCACTCAGCTGGCTAAATAGCAGCAAAGTTTTTCAGCCGGGGAGGAGGGAGAGAAGCAGAGCCTGCTTGCTTCTCCTCTTATACCCCTCTTCTGCATTATTAACAGCATCCTTCTCCATCCACCCCACACGTGTTGCTTGTCCCTTGAGTGCTTGTCCTTCCCTCCCCACTTAAAACGTGGTTACAAAGCACGGATCCACATGGATCCTCTGGATTTTTGCACTGGGTCACCCCAAATTCACCATCAGATCACATAGCATGTCCATGACTACAGCTTGCACCAAAAAAATCATGCACCCACTGTTGCCTGGGGCCGCAGTGGTGCAAAAATGTGGTTACAAAGCATGGATCCACATGGATCCTCAGGATTTTTGCATTGGGCTACCTCAAACTCACTGTCAGATCACATGTCTGTGGCCACAGCATGAACCACAAAAATCATACATCCACTGTTTCGTTTAGAATATTTTTTTTATTGTTTTCCTCCTCTAAAAACTATGTGCGTGTTATGGTCGGGTGCGTATTATAGAGCGAAAAATACGGTAGTTAGTTATTATTGCTTGCTTGCTTTATCCTAAGAAATGCTGTTGGGGCATTTCCCCTTCTTGAGTATAATACGGGTGCCTATTTGTGTCACTTTGCTGTGCCACCTCAGGCAATTGCCGGGCAAGCCTAACCACTTCCACACGTAAACCCCCCAGAAAATGCTAACTGCAATGTCACAAGGAGATGTCAAAATAGAAAAGTCAGATATTATTCGCAACTTACAAGATGCAAACCAAAATGTATAAAACCGTGCACCTCCAAAGGTCAGTACTGCGCTCCTGTGAGGTCTGTGCAAAAGGCCTAGCTGGACTCAGGATAGCACCAGCCCCATTGGCCTCAGGCAACAAAACGCCTTCGAGCCGAGGACAGCGGGAGAGCAAGGAGCGTGCAGGACACACGGGCCGCCCCGGCTACCGTTGCCTTGCGAAGACCTCCCCGTGCAGGGAAAGCCCTTCCCCTCCCGCGGCGTGTTGCTTTGGGTCGGGAAAGCGAAAAGGAGCCTGGCGTAGCAGGAGCGGGGCGCGGGCCGCCCTCCTCAGACAAAGGTGAGCTGCCGGCGGGCGCTGCGCCCGGGGAGGGGGGGGCGGGCGCGCGCTCCTGATCCCCCTTCTTCTCGCGACCCCCTCGGGGCGGGATTGGCAGGCCCGGACGGCGGGGGGGGGGGAGCGCATGACGCGCCTCCTCCTCCTCCCTCCCTCCCTCGCGCGCTCTCCCAGAGAGAACAAAAGCAGAATTCTTCGCGCAGGTTTGTGGGCACAACAACCTGAGGCTTGGCTGCTTCCCAAGCCTTGGCTCCCAAACGCCACACTCCTCCCCCCCTCGAGAGGAGCAGGCACTTAATGTTATTTACTTAAAATATAAAATGAGCGGCGCTGATAAGCCAAGCCCATCTGGGGTGGGAAGTCGAGGCTGCAGCCCTGAAACGAAGAGGCGCGCCGTGGTGGCTTAGGGGGGAAGGCAACTCTGCCCATGCTCAGAGCTGCTTTTGTTTTCTGGTGTGGGGTTTTTTTTTTTGTTTTTTTTGAAGCTCTCAGGCGCTGCCTTCCTCAGCTGGTGAGCTTTGGCACAAATTAAGCCTTGGTATGACCCCCCTAACCCCTTTGACACCCCCCTTTTCCTGCTTCCTATTTGGAAAGGGCGGCGTGGAACCGCGTCGAGTTTGCTGATGCTTGCCTGTGCCATGCTCCGGCTTCCTCTGCAAATAACATGACTGCAGGATTAGGACGCCCCCTGCTCCGAGTTCCTGCTCTTTTCCTTCTCTGACTCCAGATCGAAGCAGTCCTGCCTCCCGGCAAGCGATGCATTCCCCTAACAACCTGCTGCGTGTTTCCAGACCCCTCTGGATATGTTACTCTGCACATGCTCGCTAAAACAAGGACCTTAAGTTACCTCGGTAGGTTGACTAACGAGCGCATGCTTGAGATCACAGCAGCCTTGTGCCCTGCATTCATTAACCTGGAATATTTTACCGCGCCGGGTTCTTTTGTATTCACAACCGGAAACCTCACTTTGCCATTTATCCCGGAGGGTGAAACTGTTGAGAAAATCGAACCCCTTTTCTCTCTTGAGCTGTCAGGGTTGTGAGAGGTAACTAACCAGTGATAAATGAGCCATACACCACCTCCAGGGAGTGGCCCTCAAAACAAAGGACTTGGGGTCCCACCTGGTGTAAATCTGGTGTTTGTTCTGCAGTGTCCAGCGCATGGAATGTAGGTCTGGTAGGCGTCTCTTCAAAGTGAAAATGAAATAAAGCAGCACGGGCCCTTTAAGAACCGCTCCCTAGCTCAAGTCTCTGCATTCCCTCTCTTTCCTCTTGGGCATTTCTTTGGAACTGATACAGGATCCCTCCTGCGGCAGTTTCCAACTTGGAACAGCTGGAAAACCGTGCCCTCCGCTAGTAAACGCCAGTTGGAATTCAGCTGCCAGCCAAAACTGCAATATCCAACTCCCTTTGGTCTGACCTCTTATCCTGGGAGAGAGAGAAATTCTCTGCACTTTCCAATTCAGTCTGACTCCCCCAGGCAGTATGATAATATTCTGCAGACTCCTATAAACTACCAGAGACTTTCCCACCCTCATTGCAGCAGCAGGTACCTGGGCAGAATTCCCAGGTAGAAATGCCTGATTTCATCAAAGGCCTATCTCACTGATCCTCTGGGGCAATCTGATATCGTTTCTTTGTGGAAGAGCTGCTTTACCTTTGAGGAGCCTGTAAAAATCCCTAAGATGCCAATTCATGAGCCACCAAGGCCGAGGGGTTGGTACAGTGCACTGCAAATAAGAACTCTTACTCCCTAAAACTATTGGAGGGGCTATCAAAACATTGGAACAATGATAAGTATTTATAAATGTGTGTTATCTTACATGGTAATATCAGTGTTGGGACATAGAATGAACTGGATAATCTGAAGATTTGGTCTGCATAATCAGGACTCTACAAAACCTAAACACCAAAGGGAAGGCAGTGAAGAGCAAGTTACTTTTTCAAGCAGGTTGCTCAAGTAATTAAAAGTTTGCATGGAATGAAACCCACAAGCCTCCTTCAATAATACACTTTCTGTTTGGCTACTGATTAGATTAAGGCTGCAATTTAATTCACATCTGCTGAGGCATATATCACATTGAATTTGTGGGAACTTTCAGGTAAACAGGCATAGGATTGTGCTGCAATGCTGTAATCCTAAACATTGGTTTCAACAACGTATTTCTTAGCAAATAGGATTTCTTCCAATGAGGCTTTCTTTCAAGTAAAAGGAAGTTAGTTTCCTTGATCTGCATTAAACACTTTTGTACACATACATTGCTGATAATCACCTATGCAGAGTGTTCTCCCTCATTTGCTTTCACACACTTATCACAAGTCTGAAGTTCACCAGGTAGGTGTTCCTTTCTTATTTCTTAAGGAAATACAATAAATTACTCACCTCGCTGCTGACGAGTGGCAGGTAGCAGAAACACACGAAGATCACTCCGAAATTCATGCCGACTCCAATTCCCAGAAGTTCCAGACACATTGAAGGAGAGGTGGGTTATTTTTTAAGAAAAGAAAAGAAATAAGGTTCCTAGAGTTCAGGCACAGAGGTGAGAAAGGGATACAGTCTGTGGTATCATACACAGGGGGTCCTGCGCTTTCTCATTTCTCCTGTGCAAAAGTTTGTTCTCCAAAAAAATAACATGCACTCTTACTTAGGTAAGATATCTCTGAAAGGCTCTGAGGAAAAAAATAATTACTGGTTACCTTTCTGCCTTCTCCTTCGGAGAGAGAAAGCACAGGTATGAACGCAGAAGGAATAAAATGGGGGAAATGTCCCCATCAAAACTTGCGCTTCCAGAGTTGGTCTCTTGCATACCCCGTAACTTTTCTACAAGAAGTCTCTCAACATTTCCCTTGATTTGGCAGTCCGCATGAAATCAGGGTCTTTTTTTAAGGACAAAAGTGTCTGCTGGCAAAAGCAAAATTATTTGCAGTATTCCTTCAAAATCTTTTAAGCTTCGAAAGGTTAAAAACTTCCCTCATTCTTTCTTGTTTGACTTCTTGAAACAGTTCCCGCTCCCTTCGGTTTGAATCTCTTCTTCGCTGTTAAATTTCTGCTGGAGGCTTCTTTCCAAAGAGCATTGGTAGCTTTGGTCTGGTGAGAGTTTGAGGCTTGAGTTGTTATGTTTGCAGACAGGTGAAGAAATAGCTCTGGAGAAGCAGCCTCTGTGTGTGTTAAGTCTTGCTAAGTCTCCAGACTGGAATTGCTGCTGCTGATCTCTTGTATTCTTGTTGCAGCAAGAAAGAAAAAGGTAAGCTCTGGTGGGAGGAGAGACAGCACCAGGGAGAGAGCTAGCATGAATCTGGATTTTAGCCTGTGAGAAAATAAGGTGCTAGCAGTTCAGTTGTTCCTTCTTTTATAAGAGAAGAGCAAGAAAGGGGTGGAGACGGGTCTTGCAGGAACTCCTCTCTTGGCTGTGAATCAAAGAGAGAGGGGTGTGGAAATTCAGCACTCCAGATTTTAAAAAGATCTTCAATAACAAACACAGCAAATGTAGAACACCATTGTTTTCAAAGAGGAATCTGACCTGGGAAAATTGTGATTAAGAGAGGGTGGGTAGCTCTCATCAGAACATGGTTGTGTTAAATGCTCTTGGCACCTAGTATTCTCTCTTGAAGCTCCTACTTTTTTTAAAAGACAAGATTAATTTGTGTTCTTTCAGCCCTGCCACCTCAGTGGTTCTGAAGGAAGAGAGAATTTTTAATATCTTTGATCTGCATACTAATGGAGAAGAGAGCCAAAGAAATCTTTAAAAGTTGTTACAACAAGATCCCTGCAAAGGTTGGCACTTGGCATTACTTTCAGTGCTGGAAGGCAGTTTGTTGCATAGTAATTTCCACAATGTAATAAACATCCAAGCTTTGGAAAGTTGAGCCAGCAGATATTTGCTGAGGGAAGTAGGGGCAATTAGTTAATAGGTGAGAGCAAGACAGAGTCATCATTTTCTTTTGAAATAATAACACCATTTCCCCCACTTAAACCAGGGCATGTTTATCGTGATATTTTCTCTACTCCAGTTGTGCATCCATGTATAGAAAAGTTGTACTAGTCACATCTCTTTAAATCTATACCCCATTTGGCAAAGCTTCAAGACCCTGCTCTGCTAATCCTGCGTCTCAGGCAAATGAAGTTGCCTTTTTACTGAGTCAGACCATTGGGCCATCTAGCTGAGCATTGTGTGCTCTGATTGGCAATTGCTTCTCAAGCAAAGGTTTTTCCTAGCCCTACTGTTTAGAATCCTTGCCCACAGGAAAGGCTGAAGTGTTGGTATTTGTGAGCACACAAGAACAAGATTATGGGGCAGGTCTGGTCCTTTCCACCAAGAGATGACCCCACAAGGAAATGCAGCCCCCAACAGGTTGCCTAAAGTGCTCGTCTAGATTTTTCCACCCAGACGTGCCTTTGATTGAACTGGGACCTTCCACATACCAAGTGTAGGTGCCCCATTGAGCTGTGGCCCCGCCGCATGCAAGACCTAGAGTGGTGATGGCTATTTTCTGATACCTGTTTGAAAAAAGCTGTTTTCAGAGCAGACCTCATCTACACATAACTTCGATGATTACAGTGTAATGACTACATTAGGTGATCAAGGTAGGAATTCAGAGTGGGAAGGTCAAAGGCTGATTAAGGTCAAGGAGAGTAAGGACATTGGAGAGACAGAAGAGGAATATGCAGTGGCGAAATCAGATGTAGATCACCCACAGTCAGATGCACTAGTCTGAACACTTTCTGCATGTTCAGCCACCCCCAACTCAGCACACTTGTAATCACATAGCTTCTGAGTGAGCCAGGGGTTTCCTGCAGGTTATTGCCATTTCAGGGGTGGTCTAGTGCACGTCCCATATGTGGAATTTGCACTATGTTGTGCATGCATAGACACAAACACACAAAGGATCCTGCAGCTGGGGAGGGGCACAGTGTCAGTGCTGCAGGGGATCAGTTGGAAGCCGCATGCATCTGTGGTGGTTGCTGCCAGCCACTTCATTTCTCTTTTAAAGCAGAATCATTCCTTGCCCTGCCATTCCCCCCTTCTGAGGACCACCTCTTGAGTCTTTAACATGCCTTGCCTTGCAGAAGTTTTCTAGGCTTTGCACAAATGGCCCATGAGACTGAGTGATGGGGAACCAGTGGTGCTCCAGATGCTTGACCACAACACCCCTCACTCCTGGCCACAGCTTCTCCATTCCTGATGTAAAGCCACCTTGTGGCTCTTTGGGGTGATCCTTTGCCCTGGTGTTGGGTTGTGTACACATTACTGGCTTAAAACACAGCGAAGTCATTACCCCTGCCATCCGTGCTTCAAATCACATTTCCACATCATCATATGGAACAGTACAATTGGATGAGTTTCCAAGTCGTCGTATGTGCACACCAGTGAGCACAGGGTGTGTGTGGATGTCTTCAAATGGCTTATGTTTTCAAACTGAATCAAAGCTGGGGAGGCGGGAATGCATCAGAAAGCAGTATTTCTCAAGACACTACAGGATTGATGTGGATTGGGGCTCAAGTCTGTGCACATGGCTTCAGAAACCAGCAACTGGAGCGCACTGGGTGCAGAGTAATCAGGAGTGTGCACAGCCTTAGTGTTTGAGTGCTTTTTTGCAGAAAAAGTTGGGTAAGATGCTATCTTGACACAGGTGCAGGAGACAAGGGGTCAGGATTACACCTCCCCTTGCTTTGAGGAAACCTCACTGTAAGCGTAGGGCTTGCTCCCACACTTCCCTTTGTCTCTTGAGTCATTTCACTGTTAACATTTCTTCACCCCTTTTGGGGTTGATGTAATCAAAGATTCAACAAGGAAGTGTTTTTTGCTGGGAGGAAATGGGTTATGTGGTGGTTGCAGGGAGGGTTGGTGGGGGTTTTTTAGTCCAAGAGTGCCTCCTCAGTTCTGTTTTAAATAAAAGCACCATAAAGCTATATAGATGCACCAACATCCTCTTAGCCAGAAAAGCCCACACGTACCCTATCCAGACAGCTCACACATGTTAGAGAATGACACAGCTACCTCATTCTCTTTTTCTGTCACAGAGATATAGTCAGACACATGTTGGATTATAGAGCATGCTCTAATTTCAGCTTTATACCTCTGGGATTTAGAAATACTTTACAGTGCAAAAATTAAGCAGAGCACAGACATCTCATGCTAAAGCTGACAGCCTGCCTCTGTATCAGCTGTGACAGGCACTCAACCACCAACACCAGAATTTCATTACAGTCAGAACATTGAGTCTGCTATCTGTGTGGTGCCCCAAGACCCATCAAGGCATCCCCTGAGGCTCTGCCATTGTCTGGCAGACTGGCTTAGCCATTCATTTCCTTAAAGGCTCCATTGTGATTCCACGTAATCCAGTACAGCCTCAGGATTCAAAGATTTACATTACCATGCATAGCTGAACTGGATACATGCATCCCCAGGCCCTCTTTTATATGGATTACCTAACAGAGCCATGGCTCAGCAGTGCAGCATTTGCTGTTGCATGCAGAAGGTCCCAGGTTCAATACCCAGGGAGACCTAGAGAGACTCCTGCCTGAAACCCTGGAGAACTACTGCCAGCCAATGTAGACAAATGCTCGGCTCAATGGTCCAATGATGTGACTCAGTGCAAGGTCGCTTCCTGTGTTCCTAGTCGTGCTGGGGAACTATGTCACAAGAAAATGCAGAAGTGACAGGAGGCAGTGATGGCCGCTACCCTAGATGGACTTAAAAGAGGGTTGGCCAAATCCATGGAGGTGAGGGCTATTTATGGCTACTAGCCTTCAAGGCTATGTTCTGCCTCCACAGTTGGAGGCAGCAATGCTGCTGAATACCAGTTGTGGGAAACCACAAACAGCAGGCTCTTCTTGTGATCTTAGATGATGGGAAAGGCTAGAGGGGATAAGGGTTGATGAGTGCTTTTTCCTTGAACACATGAAGCCAACTTTCATGGAGTCAGACCATTGGTTTGTCCAGCCCATTGCTGCCTATTCTGACTAGCTGTGGCTCTCCAAGGCCTTGATAAGTCTTAACCCTGCTGTCATTAAGATCCCCCAGCTGGGTTCTTGAAGAGGTACCTAATCCACCAAGTCCTCTTGTGGGATAAAACCATCCAGCTCTTGATTCTATCATTCTGTCCTGCTCATTGTCACCTTCTGACAAGTTAACCCAACTTGGAAGAGGAGGATTGTTAGGGAATCATTAGCTGCAGTCCTTAGCATACTTTCCTAACAAGTTCTGAAGGCCAAATTACACAGACTGCAGCCCTCCAGGCCCTTCTAGATGGCCTGTTTGTTCAGCATTCATCCCAATATGCTTGCAGAAGGCTTATGTGCAAGTTAGGTTATGTCTGGTCTATGTTTTTTTAAGATCATCATTTATTTTTCCAAATAAATCATAATCCATAGAATTTACATAAATAATTAATTGCCAAAATAAATGTCTCTGAAGCCGGTTATATCCCAAATTCATGTGGCAATGATTTACAAAACATGTATATCTCTCACCAAATTTTGCATTATAGCCAGTTATATTATATCCAGTCTTCACTGAGCATTCGTTCTGATTTGTTTGTAAACCAGGTTTACGACAATGAGCATTCTTCTGTAAGAACACAAGAAGACCCAGTGGCTGGGTCAGGCCACTGGCCCCTCTAGTCCAGCATCCTGTTCTCACAGTGGCCAACCAAATGCCTGTGGGCAGTCTGCAAGCTGGGCATGAGTGCAACACTACTCTACCCATCAGATATTGCCTCTGACATAGGTATCCTGATCTGCTTGTCACTTACCATTGCAGTGGTACCTTGGTTCTCGAATTTAATCCGTTCTGGGAGTCTGTTCGACTCCCGAAACCATTCAAAAACCAAGGCACGACTTCCGATTGACCGCAGGAGCTTCCTGCACTCAATCTGAAGCCGTGTTGGACATTCGGCTTCTGAAAAACGTTCGCAAACCAGAACACTTGCTTCTGGGTTTGCGGCATTCGGGAGCCGATTTATTCGACAACTAAGCCCTTCGGGAACCAGGGTACCACTGTATTCATTCACCCCACACTTTTCAATTCATTTCCCCATTATTTTCCAAAACTCAAAAAGCCTGTGTTGTTGTTGTTTTTTTAAAAAAGTGGTTTTGTTTCACTAGGGAAATGGAGCACCTTAATCCACTTTAAATGTGGAAACTTAAATTTTGAATACATGCTTGAATCCCTCCAGCAAAATACTGATAGTTTGAAGAAGATTTTATGTATCTTTTAACACTAGTATAACAGGGTCTCTGGATCTGAAACATACTTTACAGATTAGAGATGAGAAGAAACATTAAATTTGAATGCCTGTGGGAGCAACTATGGTAGGTGTTGATTTCTTTTTGGAGATTTTAGTAATGCTGTTTGTATTGTACTTTTTTATTACATGTTTACTGGCTGGTTTTCTGTAAGCAGTGTTCATTATATATTTTACAGAAAAGGGATGATAAAATTAAATTACAGTTTTGAGGAATGTAAAAATGAGTGTACATGCCAATCCTTTTATATGGACTTTGAAAATAAACCTGTGGACTTTGATGTTTTTATTATAGATTATTTATTAATTATTATTATTATACTGCTTTGAGCATTCTGAAGGAAAAGTAGTATATTGTGCAGTGCTTTCCCCCCCCCTAAAAAAATGTTTAGGGGTACTCTCATTTTGACTCAAGAAAATCACCATTTTATAGTTCAAAATGGGAAAAATAAATACAGTAAATGGACAAAAGTACAAAGATTCACCAATTGTTTAGGGGTATGAGTACCCCTGCGTACCCCCAGAAAAAGAGCACTGATATTGTGTATATTTTAATAATCCACTGTGTGATTGCTTGGACGTTCCATTGAAATCAGTGGAAGCACTGCCTAAAGAGCCTAACCCTTATTAATATGTGCTAATGACGCATGTAGCTGAAAGTCAAGGCAATATGCCTTTCACATGTATGTACAATTGGTATATTTTGTTCATTTGGTAAATTTCTGGGCCAAATCAATTATCATAGTGGCTACATTACTTGTACTGTAACAGCTGCTAATAACCCTACCATTTTAGACTAGGGCCCCTTTGACTGGACCTAACCATCTAGGGGTCATTTACCTATACCTTTACTGTTCCTTTAGGCTGCAGCTCCATGTGCACTTGCCACTGAGTAAACCCTGTTGAATTTAGTGGGACTTACTAGGTATGCATAGCTTTGTGCTGTTGGATCATCAACTGTTGGCATCCGTCTGTCTTGAGAGACAATGAAGTGCGCTTCTGGGAGTGAAACCAAACCACTGTGTTAGCAGCACTGAAGTGACCTCTCTGGGTCGCAAGCCTGGGCAGTGTGTGATATAGAGGTCCTGGGCTGCTCAGACGACAAGACCCCCTTTCGGCCTCACCGATGTGGTCCAAAAGAAAGCAGAGCAATACATTTGGCACCAGCTTGGCTTGTAGCAGTTGCTGGAAGGAGGCGTACAAGGCGCCATCCAACAGTCTTAGGGACTCCACTCTGGATTTGTGTAAGGTTTACTCCTTAGCCTTTTCTTCTCCCAAAGATATCCTGCAAGGCAGCTGAGGTTAAGGACCAGAGTCTTCCTTCTTCTAGAAGGAGACTGCCCCATCTGCCCCTCACTTCCCTCTACAGCTTGTGCAGAAACCTCCTTTTTTCTGTTGGACTCACTATTGGTCTTATTCACTCAATCCCCCAATCCTGTTTTTGCATATGGGAGAAGTCCCTAACTCACCAAGGGGTTGAGACCCATCCACTACCATCACCTCATTTAGCTGGCCAGACGAAGCCGTTTCTAAGAGCCACAGGTGAGAACTGAGTGCATGCTGGGGACCAAAGGTGGACAAACTACCCCAAAAGAATAATGATGTATGTCCCCCACCAGATGTACTTCCCCTCCCCTAACACCCATACACCCTTGGATCATCTAGGCATGTTTTTTCAACTATCATTAGTTCACAATTAGCCATCTCCTTATCCTGGGGTTAGGGAACTTGTAACCCTCCATACTTGGTTGAACTACAACTCCCATCATCCCTGGCCAATGATCATGCTAACTAGAGCTGTTGGGGGCTGAAGTCCAACAACACATGGAGGCCCTCAGGCTCCGCACCAGTCTTATCCCTAAGGAAAAAGTATGTTCTGTGGTGGACGTCCTCTGAAGTTCCTTTTATGTATGTATCACATGGAGCATGTGTAGAGTCCAGGACAAATTTAAAAGTGGCACTTGTGACACAAGAATATAGGAAATCTCAGGTTACATTTTTGAGCCCTTGGCACACTGTCTTCTCCAAATCCGGTTTAATTACGTGGGAGCTGAGATGGGAAGAAGGTTATTTATTTACACGTGGATGATGCTGAGAGGAATTTTTAGAAGCATGGCTGTAGAGAAGCTGATTTTTCAGACAATGAGGAAAAGGATGTTTGGAAACAAGACTATCCACCTATAGCACTGGATGAGGCCAGAAGTAAATAATATTCAAAGGCTTTTAAGGATTTAAGTAACTACCGTATTTATTTAACATGGGAAGGGAACGGATTGTCTTTCCCTGAGAAATCTTTAGAAGGTTTCCAGGCCAGATTTGGACAAGGTGGAGGGAGGGAGGCAGCCAGATAATGCCAGTGGCTCTCTTGGAGGGTACCTTGTGGAGTGCCACAGAGCTGGGCTTTGGATGGGAAGACCAAGTTCAAATCCTTGCTCAGCTGCCATCTCATTGGGTGTCCTTAGACAGGTCAGTGCCTTTCACCATCTCCTATTTTGCAGGGTTATTGAGACCAAAACATCAGCTTGAGTTGTTCTTAAGTGAAGTATGCAAATGACATGGATAGACACTATGCAAGGAGGTTCCCAGACCTCCCTACTTACATACATTCTCCTCAGTGAACCAGGAGAAATGGTGCCAAACTACTGGACACTCGCCTGGTTCTCCCCCATCATCATTCTCCAACTAAGGTTGGTTTTCATTGACACCTTAAAATGTTCTTGCATGCTTGTTTTGATCTATTTTTTCCCAAACTAAAAGTGAATACTTCAAGCTGCTTGAACTTGTGTGCAGAGCGTGTTTCCTACCAGAGCAGAGCATTTACTGTACTTAGTGTGTGTGTTTTTAATGCTGCTGCTTTACATTCAGTGCCTCAGTAATCCTTACAATGGGGGTGGGGAACCCGGGGCTCTCTAGACGCTGTTGGACTGTGACTCCATCTCCCCAGGCCATTGGCCCTGTTGACTAGGGCTACTGGGAGCTGGGGTCCAGCAACATATGGAAGGCTACATCCCTGTATTGCAGATTGAGAGATGAGGCGGAGAAAGAGGAGCTTGCTTGTGCATGAATGGCTGCTTTGAGTACCTTGCTATAAAGTCAGTCCTTATGAATGCAGTCCTACTGCATCCTCTTCTCACAGTGGCCAACCAGATGTCCATGGGAAACCTGCAAGCAGGACATGAGCACAACAGCACACTGCCTACCTGCTGGGATTCAGAGACATACCGGCTCTGAAGGTGGAGGGAGAACATAGCCATTGTGTGGCTTGTTGATATCCTTATCCTCCTTGAATTTGTCTCCTCTTTTAAAGCCATCCATTTTAAAGCCTAATCCTCTTTTTGAAGCTAATGGCACCATAAGCTGCAGTGGCTTCCTCTGCCTTTCAATTAGGAGAGAACCACAGCTCCACTGCCAGAAATTAAAATTTAAGAAATCCATAGAACTTGGCTTGCATGCTTTGTTTGAGCTACTTGATGTCTCATAAGGCATCAAGGGAGGTCAGCGGTTTGAACACTGTGTGAAACAGGATGCTAGACTAGGTTATGGTTACCAGATGTACCCATTTTCTGGGGACAGTCCCTGGATTTACAAATCTGTCCCCGGATAAATTCCGTCCCTGGAATGTCCCCGGATTTCATTTAATGTCCCCGGATTTATATTTTAAGTGTTGTGGACTTATTAGTAGGGAATGAATGTTGCGTGATTGGTTCAACGGCAGAAGACACATCATATGGGGACTTCTAGCGAGGCAAAATGGCGGGCGCCATGGCAATGAGCAGCTCCTGAAGCCAGCCAGAGCCAACTGCACTACCAGGCTGGCTACGGGCTGCTGAGACTACCGCCCCCACTACCGAGGGGGAACCGGGGACGCCCGGAGCGTCAACTGGGGGAACCGCTGACCCCCCCCCCCGTGACCTAAATCGAGCCGGGAGCAAGAGTGCCCAGCCACCCAGCCGACTGCCCAGCAGCTCTCCAGGGCCTGGAAAACCCCGGAGCCGACGCAGGGAGAAGGAGGAGAGGAGAAGGAGAAGGAACAGAGAGAAAGAGGAAGGAGAAAAAAGAGGGGAGCCCTGACCTTGCCACGCGGCTGCCGCCGCTGAGGAAGAGAGGTAGGAAAGCACTGGGAGGGCAAGGACACGAGGCTGAGCCCAGGCCCGACCTGAGCCTACTCCATGGCAGCTAGCGCTCCAAGAGAGCAGGCCGGGCCCAGAGGAAAGCCACACAACAGAGGAGACCACAGAAGAGAAGATATTACTTCTTAATATTTTTTTAAAATAACTTTTTTCTCTTTTTTTTAAAAAAGTGTCCCCGGATTCTTTGAAAAAAATCTGGTAACCTTAGACTAGGTAGGCCTTTGGCTTAATCTAGGTGGGTTCTTCCAGTGGCTTTGGGAGCAAGTCCTATGGTTCCACATCTATGGCTCATAGAGTGCCATTATAGCAGAGTGGCTAAGAGACTGATCTACAAATCAGGAAGATCCTGCTGCTTTGAATTTCCCCTCTGTAATAAACTCATTAGGTGGCTGTATAGGCAAGCCAATCTCTTGCAGCTTCAGCCCCCACCTCCCTTTGCAACATATGAAGAATTGCAGGATTGTTGCAAGAATTATACCCAAATGATGCATGGCAAACCATTTTTCATGGAAATGATTGCTCCATTAGCCTAGGCCAGGGTGACCGTGTTTGGGAAATTGTAGCCCAAAGGCAGCATTTTAGGCATAAAGCAGGGGCGTGTTGACATAGTGGATTAGAGAATTAAAGGGTGCTTTGCATTTGAATAGACTATGCTGAATTCTAGGAACTGGAAGCACAAAAAAAGACTTTTGAGCTCAGTCTTTACAGGTATCAAAGGATTATAAAGCTACCGAGCAAGATGCCACCTAGGTGGAGATTTGCTGCAGAAGAACATGGGAAGAGCCCTGGCCAATGACCCATCTAGCCCAGCTTCCTGTTATCACAGTGGCCGACCAGATGCCTATGGAAAGCCCAAAAGCAGGACCTGAGTGCATGACATGCCACCAGCAAAGTTGGCACACCTCCGAACTCTGCATTAATTGACCTAGAAATAACATCCTCTGGTTGCATACAGTCACTAAAGTGGATGAGAATCCCTGCTTTATCATTGGAATGCACTGGAAGTAATGAAAAGATGCACTCTTTAGTAGCTTTGATTACTAGACCCCTTGGATGGCTGAAGAGTTCTCTAAGGAGCACCTGATCCATGATGGGTCAACTTGACTCTTCTGCCTTACCATGCAGTCTTATGAATAGCTACTCAGAGGGTAGCCCTATTAAGTCTAATGAGACTTCCAGATAGGTGTGTATAGCGTTGCAACCTAAGGACATAATATTCAAGTTATTCCAGCTGAGGGAGGGACAGGACATCAGGTTAGGTGGCAGCCCTGTGACTCCCACAGAACTGCCATCAGCACAACAGATAAAGCCTGCAGGTTTGCCTATCACTCTGGCAGAATGATCAAAACAGGTTATGTTGACCCCAACCTGCAAAGCCAGACTCCAAAATTAAATTGGGTAGGATTTTTTAAAAGTTTCTTTTTTAAAAAAACAACACTTCTAAATATTATAGGAAAATAAAGTACAACTTTAATCCAAAGCAAAAATAGAAATGTGGTCAAAACAGATCAAAATAGATCAAATTACAAAGATAATGCAACAAAAAATTGACTTGTTATTTGAATCAAGGCCTGACCGAAATAATTATATGACAACAGATAACAAAATGTGTTGAAGACCACATGCGTTTCAACCCAATTGGTCATTATGAAGATCATTATGGAGGTGACAGAGTGGGGGCATTGTTTTGTGATGCCATGGCGTGCAGGGGGTGTGTCCCCTTGCCCTGATGGCGGGCTTTGGCGGTGTTTCAAGGTGGGGATGCCTGCTCTTTCTGTGCCCTTGGGGGGGGGGTTAGTGGTGCGTTTCCCCCTTCTTTTCCAAGCTGAGCACGCATAGGAGATGGCGGTCATTCCACGGGCAAAACAGTAACGCATTTCCCCACCCCCCTTCAACAAAACTGGAACGCAGGATTGCTTCGTAAGTCTCCTTCCTAAGTGAAAGCATAGGGGAAATTAAGGCTGTCACTGGAGGGGTGTGGGGTGAGCTGATGTGCGCTGATGCCTGTGTATTTTTATGAGCTGGGGATTAAAAACCCTTCCCCTGTACGAAGACACACATGCACATCACTCCATTCATTTCTCTCTCTCTCTGGCTTCAGGACATTATGGAACTCTTTTCCTGCATTTGATGATGGGTACACCCCCCTTCTCCCCCCTCCATCACCTCTTTCCTGTTTTGATGGGGGCGGGATGTCCTGTTTTCCTTCTTTATTTTTCCAAAGTACCAAATAGCACTGGAAAAGGAATATCTCCCCCTACCCTCTTTCATGCTACCACCAATATAACAATATATATGTCTATTTATGATATATAACACATCACACCCTGTTCTTTGGGGATAATAAACATATTTCCCTCCCTAATTTGAGGAGGGTGGGAAACACCTTCAGCTCTCCCCCCCCTTTCCACCCATCACCCAACCCCATCTCTTATAACCCGCCCGTTTCCCCCAACTCACCATTCTCCTGTCCTTCACCTCTTCACGCAGCAGCCGCTGAGGAAAGGAAGCCTGCTGAACAAGAGTAAAAATAGACCCGGCAGTTACTCAGCGCCTGAGAACATGATGACATGACTCATGAGGTAAAATAAAGAGATGTGAAAATCAAAAGCCCGTTGCATTCCCACCACCACCCATCCATCCATCCTTGCACGTAGCGAACCCCACTTCACTCCAGGCCTGTCTTGCATCTCGGATCTAAGGAAGGGGGGAAATAAATTGCTCTTGAATTTTGGGAGTCACCAAGCACTCAGGTAAATACTCGGGTAAAAGGGAACTAACAGGCTGCCTCCCCCCAAGCTGATTTTTGACCAGGCACCAGTTTGCATACGACATCTGATGGGGTCACTTTCCAGGGTTCTTCTCTCTCCCCCCCCCCCACTTTTCAGGGGGTTCTTCAGGGTTTTCACCACCGGCTGGCAAGGGAGGGCTGTGCATTTGCTGGGGGCCCAGGATCGTTCATGGGCCTCACTTAGCCAGCACTGCGTTCTGTGTTTCTGTTCTGCAGGGGGCACGGGGATGTCAGAAAAAGAAGAAGAAGAAGAGTTTGGATTTGATATCCCGCTTTATCACTACCCAAAGGAGTCTCAAAGCGGCTAACATTCTCCTTTCCCTTCCTTCCCCACAACAAACACTGAGAGGGACTGAGAGACTTCAAAGAAGTATGACTAGCCCAAGGTCACCTAAGCAGCTGCATGTGGAGGAGCAGAGACGCGAACCCAGTTCACCAGATTACGAGTCTACCGCTCTTAACCACTATACCACACTGGCAACATGTACAGCCTCTGGTCCACGAAGGCTTTGCACTGCCTTCGTGTGCACTTCTGCAGGCTGAAGCACTCTCAGTTTGCACATCCCATACCACACCACATGTGGCTCATGCTATAACAAGCCTTTTAGTGCTTCAGGTGTCGCAACATGATTGATCTTGCTCCTTTCACTTTTAGCTCTTGCCACATACTGGGGGTCAGCGTTGAATCATTTAGGGCCAGTTTTATACATCATCATTGCCGCCATTAAACCAAGGTAGTTTCAAAAATATCAGCAGGGGGACTGGCCATCAGGTGAGCCATTTATCTACATCAGACTGGGTGATTTTCAGCATCTCGTTATGAGCAAACATTGGGCCACGGGGGAAATCACCTAATGAGTCATTGCACATCAAAAGCTTGCCACATGGAGCAGTTTCATGTGATTTTCATAAGGTGATCATAATGTGTAAGGTAAAGGTGAAGGACCCCTGGATGGTTAAGTCCAGTCAAAGGCGACTATGGGGTGCGGTGCTCATCTCACTTTTCAGGCCGAGGGAGCCGGCGTTTGCCACAGACAGCTTTCTGGGTCCTGTGGCCAGCATGACTAAACTGGTTGTGGTGCAAAAGGACACCATGACGGAAATGAGATCGCATGGAAACACTTTTTCCCACAGCAGCGGTACCTATTTATCTACTTGCACTGGTGTGCTTTCAAACTGCTAGGTTGGCAGGAGCTGGGACAGAGCAACAGGAGCTCACCCTGTCATTGGGATTTGAACCGCCAGCCTTCCGATCAGCAAGCCCAAGAGGCTCAATGGTGTAGACCACAGTGCCACCCGCATCCCACATAATGTGTAAACCTGTGGTAAGAGGGAGGTTAGAGCAGGGGGTGGGGTGTCAGGCAGCAGAGGAAGAGCCCAGTTTGAGAGTGTTTGAACCGAGCTACACAGAACGGTGTGGTGCAGCTCTTGCTGAACTTTACCAGTATGGACTCATTTGGGGATTGTTTGAATGCTTCCCCATATTTTAAAACTGGGAGGGAAGCACGCTTCATGCAACATAACAAATCAGTGTGATAGAAGAGAAAAATCTGGTGCTCACCCACCAAGAAAGATGGTTTGCAAGTTTGTATGGGTCAGGCCAGAGGCAGATTCAGCACTTTCTACCACTGCAATAATTTCACCTCTGTTTCCTTTCATGAGAAGTCTGGTAAGAACTGCACTGGGCATTCTCCAGTGTTGGTATAATAGCTGCATATAAGCTGGAGGGTGGGATATGCTGAAATTATGCTTGGCCGTATACTCTGTATTGGCGAGCCATGTGTTTTACCATCCTGGCATTAAAGTCCTCATACTTTGATAAGGTCATTTTGGGAGAGTGGCTCTGCATGCAGTTAGCCCAATATCGTCTCTGTATAATAGCACAGGGCAGGGGGTAGGAGTGGAGAATGGCTATTGACTTCTTAGGATTTAGTCCTGCCTACAAATCCTGAAGCTGGAATGATACCCTCAAATCCCTCTGCACTAGCTTATTGAGTGCTACACAGGTGCAGACCATGCTCATGCAATACATAGCACTCTCCCACAATCCCTACTCCAACCATGCACCTGAAATCTATATAGGCAAACAGAGAAAGGAGCCAGGCAAGCTGTCACAATGACTTGTACCCATTGAGAGCCATGTGGCTCCAGCTATGAAGTGGGCCCCTCTCTCTCTCTCTCTGGAAGCAGGGCAGCCTCTTCACCAACCTGGTGCCCTCCAGCTATTTTGGACAACAATTTCCTGGTTGGCGCTGATGGGAATTGCAGTCCAAAACAGCTGGACGGCACTAGGCTGATGAAAGCTGTGCTGGGCATTTGTGGTTTTCCACTGACCCTTCTCAGCATCATTTTCTGTGTAGCCTTTTGCTCCCTTCCCTTGAGTTGAGGGAGATCCTGTTGCTCCGCCTTCTGTTTTTCATGGTGTTTGATTTTTCCAGCTTGCATTTTGCATGCCGTGAGCTGAGGTGGCCACCGGCCACACAGTTCCTGTGGCTTTTCCTGAGAGTCCCCCCCCCCCCATCTTTTAAAGGCATGCTTTTTATTTGGCGGCATTTGGGCCCTATATAACCCATGTTGCGATGATTATTTTACATGGTTGAATGAGCCGTCATAGGCTGCATCTCCTGGAGCAAAATATTAAATGAATAAATAAACATCCAATTAAGAATTGTCTAGTGGCAATGAGCATAGCGCCTACAAATCGGTCCACGTGATAACATTTTTGCTGTGAGATATTACACGCGGGTGGCGCTGTGGATGAAACCACAGAGCCTAGGGCTTACTGATCAGAAGGTTGGCGGTTTGAATCCCCGTGATGGGGTGAGCTCCTGTTTTTCGATCCCTGCTTCTGCCAACCTAGCAGTTCAAAAGCACGTCAAAGTGCAAGTAGATAAATAGGTACCACTCTGGTGGGAAGGTAAACAGTGTTTCCGTGCGCTGCTCTGGTTTGCCAGAAGCAGCTTAGCCATGCTGGCCACATGACCCGGAAGCTGTCTGCAGACAAACACAGGCTTCCTTGGCCAGTAAAGTGAGATGAGCACTGCAACCCCAGAGTCGTCCGCGACCTAATGGCCAGGGGTCCCTTTACCTTTACCGATTGCCTGTGGAAAACCCCAGTGACTGGGACTTTTCTTCTATTTGCTTCCAGACATCCCTGCACAATGCCATAACTACAGCAGCATTTGTCATGCTGTATTCAGCCTACAGCTGAACACCTCTGCTGATGCCCCCCCCCCCCGCTGAAAGGTAATAACAATTAACCTTAGTCATATAAGTGACAGGAGGTCGTTCTTAATTGATTCCGCACTTGAAAACGGAGAGCAGTGTGTCAGCTGTCTCCAGACAGGTACCACATCACCATCACCCACACAATATTTCTCTGCCCCTCCGGCACCCAGACTAGGTTATCTTCTCTAACAAAACAAAACAAAAGCTCCCGCGTCTGAGCAGGTTAACAAGTCCCCCCCGCCCCCCCTCAACGGACCCAGACAAAGTGGCATCTCTGAAGACAAAGGGTTTCAATAGCGCTCCTGCCCTCTGCCCTCTCCTAAACAATGTGAAATCAAGGAATATTGTCCTCAGCTGAATAAAAGCCTCTAAATATAGTGCGTCTGATGTGTTCTTGGTTTCCTGCCCGTCATTCCCCTCCCCTCCCCCTCCGCCGGCCCACTTTGCCACTAATCCAACACATTAACACAAAAGAGGGTGAGATCACACTAGGAAGACCACCTCCTCCCCACATGATGAGGCAGAGGGGATTTCCAGTGTTTTGTGTCTCTTGTTTGCAAGCTAGAGGTGGGCTGGCTTGGAGGGGGTGGGTAAATGTCAGGAGGCACCAGCGCTGCATGTGGGGTAGGTTGCTGTCAAACAAACAGAGAGCCTTTCACTCCAGCTTCCGCCTGCGCCCACTTCTAATTCTGGACCATGCGCATGACCCTGCCAGTGCACACTAGCCTCTAATATCACAGTCCTGGGTTGCTGCTCCGATCTGTGAAGCTATGTTTGCCCCTGTGCATTTCTAGACATTGGCTTTTTGCATGATGCAAGTGCATCAGACTTGCATGACCGATGCATTGAACTGCTCCCGCAACATTGTTTCCCCCCAGGACCAAAGCAGGGTCTTCTGTGTGTGGTATCAGATGGTGGACCACCTTTGCAGTGATGAAGGGGGATGGAGCAACTTCTCTATGAGGAAAAGTGGCGGCATTAAGGACCTTTTAGTATGGAGACAGGGCAAGTCAAAGGGGACGTGACAGAGATGTGCAAAACAATGCATGTTATGGAGAAAGCAGGTGGAGAGAGGTTTGTCTCCCTCCCTTATAGTATTTGAACTCTGGGATGTAATTTACTATCTGGTCTCATTTTGGCATCACTCTTCTTACTGCAAATTGTGAATTCCACTCAGACCTTCCTCTTGAAGGATTGAAATAAGAGTTCTTTAATTAGGGACACTTCTCCACGTTCATATTTCCTCCTTGGCTATGAAAATAAATTACAGGTCAATTAAAGGACCTGTCAATTAAAGTCAATCAAAGGACCTGCGACCTCTATATGCAAATCCCCAAGTGAAGATACCTTGTGTGAAGCTATGCAATGGCTGGGAGTTTCTCACCAGCCCAGGTTCCTCCCTGAAAAGTAAAAAAAGCAAGTCCACTAACTCAGAGATTTGGCAAAGGGCAACTGAGACCACCACATTCCTTCTTCCTCTTCTCTTCTATACCATTTTTAATGTTGTGGCCAAGTAAGTTTTCCTATGCCTTCTCATGTCCTTTCTTTAATAATTTAATTCAATTGATTCCATATTTTTTTGGGCCAATTATCTGGGGGCAGCTTCTGTGGAATGTTGTCTTTATTTGCCATGGCTGATGTGCCAAAAGTGGCAGAGGCGTGGGGGGGAAACACCGGATCCCCACAAGGAGCGGGGGAGGAAGCAGGAGAACAGCAGCTACAATCTGAATCACAGACAGAGAAGCAAGGAAGGGTGAGGAGAAGTGGGGAGGAGGGTGCTCTCTCTCTCTCTCTCTCTCTCTCTCTCTCTCTCTCTCTCTCTCTCTCGTCACAAAAAGTCTTTGTCAGCAGGTAAAAGATGAAGGGTGAACTGTGGAAGCCTCTTGTCCTGTGAGTCACTTGCTTCTAATCTCATCCCAGACAGGGAGGGATGGGGATGCCCAGGAAAGCAGCGATGGGGAATGACTGATGGCACAGTGATGGATAATAAAACAATTGTTTTCTAAAGTGTGGTAGGGCTCCAGGAGGGGAGCCAGCATCGTACCAGAGATGAACAGGATCCCAAGGCAGGGTGGTATCTTCCACTCATACCAGCGAGAGTTGCTTGTCCCCTGGCATGGGACGTCACTGATTCACACTGGATTTGTGGGCATGGCTGAACCCGTGATGCTCCATCATCCCAATCATATGGATCAATAATGGCAAGGAAACCTGCTTCACCCCGCTGTGACATGGTTGGAGTGGCCTCACACGCAATGCGGTAATGCCAGTGTTGCTTGTTATGCCATTCTGCGAAGACTCCAAACTCAGCATCAGGACAAAGCACACGGAATAAAGCATCCCAATTCATTGCAGAGTCAACACATTCTTGCTGTGCAGAAGCCCTACCATTAAAGCACATTTAAAGCACTTGCCTTCCCCAAGGAATCCTGGGCACCATAGTTCACTGCCACAGACTTTCAGTTCCCAGCACCGTTAACTACAGTTTCCAGAATTCTTTGGGGGAAGCCATATGCTTAAATGTGTTTTGAATGCATGGTGTGTAGACAGCCATGCATACATAAATATATTTTGCATGCAGTTTGCGTGCAGAGTATGGACCTTCTGGAGCACCCCTCTTCCCTACATTTACATGGTTTGATTGGTCACACTCACACCATACATTTAAAGCACTCTTCTGCCACTCTTATTCGCCATGGTTTTCCCCCCCAAGAGCCCCGGGAACTGTAGTTTGTTAAAGGATGCTGGGAATTATAGCTCTGTGAGAGGTGCCCTAAGCACTCTCAGCACCCTTAGCAAACTACGGTTCCCCAGGATTCTTTGGGTGAAGCCAAGGCCATTGAAGTGGTATAAGAGTGCTTTGAATGTGCTGTGTGGGTGTCTGCTCTGTCTTGCCAGCAAAGTGCCTGCTCAGTTTTTCGAGAACTGGAAAGGAAAATGCATGAATGCAAAGACCCAGTTATGAACATGTACTTGAATTAGCTGCTTTCTCGCCATGCTTTCCTACCTCTGAGCAGGATGCTGGGCTGCCTCCACCTCCCAGACCCCATGCCAAGAAGCCTTTATTTTTAAAATCGCAAACAATGAATGAGCAGCTGTTATGATCCTGGAGGAAAATTATATATACATTTTAATTAGCTGCTTTGAGTCAATTTCCCTTCCCATCATTCATTAGCAAGGGCAGGTGCCAAAATGACCCCCCTAACCCCCCTAATCTATAGGGTGGAGAACCTTATTTATTCCCTGGCACACCTGGCATTTATTTTTGGTATTGACTATTTAGGGTGCCCAAGCCTACCATCTCAAACAGACCCCCACCCCTTTGGCCTTGCTGTGATCCTGCACATCGGTATAAACACATCAGGGATTTGTTATGTGTCTGTGTCCGAGGAACACAATCCCAACACCATACTTGTGACATGTTGTCTTTTGGATGCATGTGCTATTTCTTCGGGCACATCTGCCTTACTTGTCATTCTCCCCTTGGGAACACCGGAAACTGAAGTTATTGGGTGTGGCTACTGAAACCTAGCAGAATGTTTGCACCCTCATTGTTCTATAATCCCCATGATTCTTTTGGAGGAAGACATGGGAGTTAAAATGGTATAAGAATGATATTGGAAAGATTGTTGCATGTAGATATGCCACTTGGCTTTCCCCACCTAACGGAGTTAAAAAGAGCTACAGTGGTACCTTGGGTTACATACGCTTCAGGTTACATACGCTTCAGGTTACAGTCTCCGCTAACCCAGAAATAGTACCTCGGGTTAAGAACTTTGCTTCAGGGTGAGAACAGAAATTGTGGCGGCAGCGGGAGGCCCCATTAGCTAAAGTGGTACCTCAGGTTAAGAACAGTTTCAGGTTAAGAACGGACCTCCAGAACGAATTAAGTTCTTAACCCGAGGTACCACTGTAATGACACATGCTGGCCAGGTACAAAAGAAAGTCCAACCTTTAATTTAATTTCAGCAAATCCCCTCCTCTACAGAACTATGAAAGGTGCAGCAGCCCAGCCCCCTTTTGCAGCCGGCCACCTTACACAGAAGAGGCAAGGTGAGACACACCAGGCCCCCAAGAATGTACAACAACACAGTGTATAGATGGATCTGCACACCTGAAATGGGATGCTGGGTTGTGACAGACGTCCTTCCATCCACCCCACCTTGGAATCCCACCTTGGAATCCATGATCCTTCAGTTTCCCTGTTGATTAACATAAGAAGATCGTGCTGGATCAGCCAATGGCCCATTCAGCCCAGCATCCTGTTCTCACAGTGGCCAACTAGAGGCCTGTGGGAAACCTACAAGCAGGATCCAAGCACAAGAGCCCTCTCCCCTCCTGCACTTCCCCGCAACTGGTATTCAGAAGCATAGCTGTCTCCAACTGTGGAAGCAGAATATAATTATCATGGTTGCACATGCTGGAGTCAGCTTTGCCAAGGATTTGATGCCCTACGGCAGAAGCAACTTTTCAGGTGTTGTGATTGCATGTGGAAAGCTGGCCCATGTGCATTTCAGTGCATGGTGCAGGCATAATCAACACCTGCTATGTCCATGGTACAGTGGTACCTCGGGTTACATACGCTTCAAGTTACAGATTCCGCTCACCCAGAAATAGTACCTCGGATTAAGAACTTTGCTTCAGGATGAGAACAGAAATCGTGCAGCAGGGGCAGCGGGAGGCCCCATTAGCTAAAGTGGTGCTTCAGGTTAAGAACAGTTTCAGGTTAAGAACGGACCTCCAGAACGAATTAAGTTCTTAACCCGAGGTACCACTGTATTGCTAAATTGCAGGATATGGATAAAGAACTGCTGCTGACTCACACTTTGCTCTGGAGGGCTCCAGATTACCCGGTCTGGAGGACTCCAGAGTCAAACCAGCAGTGAATGTTGTCTGGCACACAAGGAGGCCAACAGGCTTGCAAGGGTTTGCTGCCAACTGGCCTGGATGCTCCTTTGCTTCCATTCTGCAGGAAGATCCAGGACATGTACCGAACTTAAACAAAGCAGTGTGTCCACCCTGAAACTTCCACAGAGAAAGCTGGATCACATAGACCCATCCTTTTAACCATCATGAGCACAAATCATCATGAATGCACAATTTTTTATATTAAAAGATGTCTGGGGGGGGTGTTGCTTTGAGAGAGGTTATGGGGAGCTGTTGTGGGAAAGGTTGGATCACGGCACTCCATCGTCTGCTAGCGTCACCATGCTACAATGGAAGGTCAAGTCAGACGCAAAGTTTCGGCTGCTGCCTCAGCTATGGAGCGAGCGTGAATAGGTCGCCCTTATCTCAAGAAAACACTGCCATAGCCAAGGCATGGCGTCTGGCCCCCTGTGCCCTCAGCTTGCCAGCCCTTCCAGCCTTCCTCTCCGCCTGTGCTCTTGGAGGTTCCCTTCTCCTGCAGCTCTTGCCACGTTGCCAAGCCCACTGGAATGTCAGCAATGCCACTGAGATGAAACACTTCCACGTCCCTCAGAGTCTGGCCTCTGCCACTCAGAGGCACGGGGAAGGTTGGCTCCCAAAGGGTCCCCTTAGCAAAAGTTCTTCCACTCCCACCCCTGTGTTGCCGTTTGGGACAAGGGTGGAAGGCTAGCTGATGAGGTAATGCAAATGAACGTGCTTTTGCACCCCTGTTGAGCAAACATGTAGGCATGTTAGGACCTTCCTGTGATTGTCTGGCTCTGCATTCCTGCCAGTGCCCTTGTGAGGATGTTCTTCCTAACTGTGTGTCTGCGTTTGCTGTTATTGTTCATCTTGTTTATTTCAGCTACCTCTTCTCCAGGGGCAGCGGGGAGGGAGAGGTACTCATTAACACTGCATGTTAAATTTTTTTTGAACCTATGCAAGGCTTCAAACCTCCACCCTGTCAGAAACAAAAAAAATCCGGGTAAATAAGGGCCAGCCAAGGCAGGGCAGTAGTGATGTGTCTCCCAAAACACTTCTGTGACTGCGGATAAAAGGTTTTGATTGTAGTTTTCTTAGAACAGGGACTATACCCATTGCTTCTTTGGTAAAGCGCCATGTCTGTTAATGGTATTGTGCTGCTGCTACCAGTAGTAATGGTAGCATTATATTTTTCAAGGCTTTGTAATGTTTTGCCAGTACTGCATGCTTATGCCTGCCACTGTCGCCAACCTTACGCATTTAGCTCCACTGGATAGGAGTCTGGTTCTAAACCTGCATGGTCTGCGCATCTGTTCTTATTTTCACATAGTGAGCCTGATGTAAAGGGACCCCTGACTGTTAGGTCCAGTCGCAGACGACTCTGGGGTTGCGGTGCTCATCTCGCTTTACTGGCTGAGGGAGCTGGCGTACAGCTTCCGGGTCATGTGGCCAGCATGACTAAACCTCTTCTGGTGCAATGGAACACCGAGACGGAAACCAGAGCGCACAGAAACGCCGTTTAACTTCCCGGCGCAGTGGTACCTAATTATCTACTTGCACTAGAGTGCTTTTGAACTGCTAGATTGGCAGGTGCTGGGACAAAGCGACGGGAGCTCACCCCGTCACGGGGATTCAAACCACCGACCTTCTGATCAGCAAGTCGAAGAGGCTCAGTGGTTTAGACCACAGTGCCACCCGTGTCCCAGCATATTGCTGGGATCACAACAGCAGAGTGGAAGCAAGATCAGAGGAGTGCCCTTAAACTCCTGCACCCTTTTAACATGTTTTTCCTCCTGTTGAAAACAATGTGAGGGAAATTAATGGGATAGCCTAAGGCCAGCTGCTGAACTAGTTTAAATCACAGAATCATAGAATTGAAAGGGACCCTGAGGGGCCACTGGTCCAACCCACTTCAATGCAGGAAATCTCTCACTGGTTTGGGGGCTGAGGAGGATACAGATCCTTCAGCTCCTTGCGCTTTCCTGATCTGCCCTCAGCATGCGGCTGACATGCCATATAGCTGATGTCAGTAAGGCCAGGGCCACAGAAATTGCACCAACAGTGTTGACAAATACTGAGCCAGCCCGGGAGACACTTTAGGGCTCCCTGGATTCCGCCATCCCAGAGGTACAGCTCCTGCAGAGAAAGGAGGGTTATGCAACAGGTATCCCTCTAGGCCAGCACAGAGCAATGAAGGGGTGGCAGGGAGAAGAGGAGATAAAGAGATAGGTCATTGACTTCTTAATGGGTGACAGCTTTCCCACATTGCATGCAAAAGGCATTCCCTGCATTCCAGGGCTAGTGACCCCCCAGACCAGCCAAGCTTTTATAGTTCACTGGCATGCTGCAGGGTGGTCTCTCTGTCTGCCTCTGCAGAAGCCCTTGAACACTGGGAAGAAATGCATCTCTCTCCCAATGAGAGCCTTTTGCTTAATTGCTCCTCAAGCTGTAGCTGGTGGGCCACCTGCTGCCAGCAGAGCCTTTTGATGTGGTTACCAGACTCTTCGATTAAGAGGAGTCAGGGCTCAGAGGAGACCAGCAGTGTATGAAGGAACTTTCACCCGCCTCCCCTGAGCTCCAGCTGGAAAGGGCAGCGCTGCTTCTCCTGCAGGAAGTGGTGCACTGGAGGCTGGAGTGGGCAATCCTGCAATCCTTTGCACGCTTATAGCACAATTCCATACATCATGCCTATTCAGAAGACCAATGCAACTCCCACTGAGTTCAATGGGGCTCGCTCCCAGATAAGGGTATAGGAAGAGGATAAGGGTTTAGGCACAGGAATTTCATGCAGGGTGTGCTTCCTAAAATCTTCTGTTCACAACTTGTGAAGGTGCAGGAGCCCAGTATGTGAAGTGATTTGAACACTTGAACCACACTTTAATACTCAGACCCATCATTTCGTTTCTGAGATATGCATTTTTGGTTCCCATCAGTTTGACGGGACTTTTTTTTTTAAAAAAAATAATTTTTATTAAGATTTCAATAAAAATTAAACAAAAAAACATAAGAGTTAAAATACAAAAACACGCAATACATAATCCAAAAAGAAAAAGAAAACACAGAAGACAAAATACAAAAAAAACACACACAAAAAACAGAACAATTAAAAACAATATCACTTTTCCATTTCCGTTTTTGAATTTACTTATTTTCTGGACTTCCTCATACCTCCCTCTTTTGTATTCCAGTCCAAATTGTTTGTCCAGCAATTTCTTTTCCACTTTTTAATCCCAATCTTTAATCTTAATATAATATATAACACTTAAACTTCTTTAGTCCTAATCTTTAATCTTAATGTAATATAACATTAAATTTTTACCTCTTAAGTACCAAATTTCCATTTCCTTAAACATCTTTAATCCTAATCTTTAATCTTAGTCTATCAATAACTTTAACCTGTACAGCTGGAAACCACTTATTTTCAATCCAACATCACTCTAACATTCCTTAATTTTGCAATGTTTCTGAAGATAATCTTTGAATTTCTTCCAATCTTCCTCCACCAACTCTTCTCCCTGGTCACGGATTCTGCCAGTCATTTCCGCCAGTTCCATATAGTCCATCAGTTTCATCTGCCATTCCTCCAGCGTGGGAAGTTCTTGTGTCTTCCAATACTTTGCGATGAGTATTCTTGCTGCTGTTGTTGCATACATAAAGAAAGTTCTATCCTTTTTAACACCGTTTGGACGACTATGCCCAGGAGAAAGGACTCTGGTTTCTTGAGTAAGGTATCTATAAATACCTTTTTTAATTCATTATATATCATTTCCCAGAAAGCCTTAATCTTTGGGCACGTCCACCAAAGGTGAAAAAATGTACCTTCAGTTTCTTTACATTTCCAACATTTATTATCGGGACTTTCAAAGACCAGCGCTGCCTTCAAGAACTTACATGGGGGCTGCTTGGCAGCACAATCCTACGTGTTTTTACTCAGAAATTAGGCTGCGATCCTAACCCCCACTTACCTGGGGGTATGCCCCATTGAATTCAATAGGACTTCTGAGTAGTCATGGTTAGATAACTGTGTAATGCATGTCAGAATGCCAAGACATCCATCCTTGCTATGGCTAACTATCCATGCGGAGAGCTGCTAAATATTTACTGGATGCGATATGTACTCTTGTGAATCCCTTGGCACAATGGAGCTCAACCCTGAGATGGCAGACTCCAGAGGAAGAGGAAGAGGCTGGAACAGATGGGAGCCCCCCACCCCTCATTCTGTCAGGTTCTGTTCTGGATATAGGACTTCTAGCTTCTAGCTCACATCAAAGAAAACTCTAAAAGTCAGTATAGGCCCCACCCATTTTTCATTTCGTACAGAAAAAAGGACCATTCCTTTGTTCCCTTAATGGCCCATCACCCAGGCAATCACCTGGCTCATCTTTGGCTCATCTTTTGTTCCTTAAAAAAACTCTCAACAATTCTGAGGTCTTCCTTTAAGAAGCTCAATAACTTTTGGGTTGTCCTGGTTTTTACTTTTTGAAACCCTAAGTAGATCCAAAACAAAATATCACACTCACACACTTGCTTATACCTTTAGCTGCTGCACAACAGGGAGAAATTTCCCCCGGCGCTGTCTCTTAAAGCATAGGAATAGCAGAACCTGCTTACTTCCTGCCCATTGTGGAGAATTGTAAAATGCACAGGTGTATTCCAGAAAATGAGATGGAAGGCTTGAGGGTTTTTCAAAATAACCGTGTTGCTTAACTCCTGCTGCCATTGAGTTCCCTTTCCTTTCCTTAACTTCTTAGTGCATCTTTGCCTCCCACCTTTCTTTCATCCTCTGCTGTTTCCAAGCAACTAACACACTGATGGTGATTTCTGATGGTGTTTCCTGCTTGGCAGGGGGTTGGACTCGATGGCCCTTGTGGTCTCTTCCAACTCTATGATTCTATGATTCTATGATTCTACATGCCCACCCCAAACACAGCAACAGGCAAAGAAGCTGTGTACACTATGGGTAGGCAAACTAAGGCCTGGGGGGGAGATCCGGCCCAATCACCTTCTAAATCCGGCCTGTGGACGGTCCGGGAATCAGCGTGTTTTTACATGAGTAGAATGTGTCCTTTTATTTAAAATGCATCTCTGGGTGATTTGTGGGGCATAGGAATTCGTTCATTTTCCCCAAAAATATAGTCCGCCCCCCCCAAGGTCTGAGGGACAGTGGACCGGCCCCCTGCTGAAAAAGTTTGCTGACCCCTGGTGTACACATTGCCAGCTTAAAACACAGCTAGGTCTTTCCCCCTCTCGAGTCAGGTCAAAGCTGATGGGGGCGGAAATGCATCCAAATGCAGTATTTCTTAAGAAAGAACAGGATAGGCATTATGTGTACACTATTTCCCAAAACAGCAGTGGGAGCACATTTAATGCAGAGTAAATGAGTGTCTGGTCACCTTAAAGGTAAAGGTTAAGGGACCCCTGACCATTAGGTTCAGTCGTGGATGACTCTGGGGTTGCAGCGCTCATCTTGCTCTATAGGCCAAGGGAGCCGGCGTACAGCTTCCGGATCATGTGGCCAGCATGACTAAGCTGCTTCTGATGAACCAGAGCAGTGCACAGAAACACCATTTACCGTATTTTTCGCCCCATAGGGCGCACCTAGTTTTTTGGGGGGGAAATCAAGGGGAAAATTGTTATTCCCCCCCCCATCCCCAAGCTAGAAGAGGGAGACGGAGCGCTCCGTCTCCCTCTTCTGCCTTCAGGGACAGCCTCCCTAGCCTCCGTGGGGCAGCGGCTTGCCCCGTTGTCCCCCGAGCTTTCAGCGAAAGCCTGCATTCGCCCCATAGGACGCACACACATTTCCTCTTCATTTTTGGAGGGGGAAAAGTGCGTCCTATAGGGCGAAAAATACGCTACCTTCCCTCCGGAGCAGTACCTATTTATCTACTTGCACTTTGACGGGCTTTCGAACTGCTAGGTTGGCAGGAGCAGGGACCAAGCAACAGAAGCTCACCCCGTCGCAGGGATTCAAACCGCCGACCTTCTGATCGGCAAGCCCTAGGCTCTGTGGTTTAGACTTACCTGCACGAAATTAGTCTGATGATCATAGATGGGTCCCGAAATTGGTATTTCCCCTACTCTGTCCCATGACTGCTTAGTCCTGCTGAGTCACGGACGGGCAGGGCTCCAAAGAGTGTGTGGCACAGGCAGGGGACCAGAGAAGGGACCCAGGAGAGGGACCAGTGAGTTATGGGATGCCACACCACCCACAAGACAGGAGCCAGGGGAGAAGGGAGAGTCAGGGCAGTATGAGGCAGAGAAAGAAGGTCTGGTTCAGATGAGGGATGGGTCAGTAGATTCCCCACCTTTTCCTGCCCCATTGTCTTGTAGAACCAGGAGGGGCATGAAAAGGGAAGAACAGCTATGCCTTCTGTGCAGGAGAAGTCTCAGTTTGCGGGCACGCCACCCGTCAGAAGTGGGTCTATATAAGCCAGAGGAGGGGAGGGCCCCCACTGTTGCTGCAACTGCACCCTAGGGCCCAGACCCATGGACAGCTGCCTAGAGGCTAGAAGCATGTGAACATGTGTATCCGGAGCACCGTGGAAGCTGCTGTGAGTGTTTCTCTTGCCCATCAAGAGTTAAATATCAGATGTGTGCCTTCCTCATCTGGGACAGGCTGTGACATGCTGCTTCTTAAGTTCCCATTTTACACATTCATTTTGCTTATTTAAGAGACTGGTTCTCTGATTTTTGAGGAAATCCTCCATGAAGTGGCGAACAATATTTTGAAATACAAACCCATTCCATAAAGCCTTTTAAAACATATAGACGGAAACAATAACAACATTGGAATAGTCAGCGTAAAGCAATATTAACTTAGCCATTCCCCCGTTGGCTGCCCTCATTCATAACCCCCATCGGAAGTTTTTAAGAAAATGGGGCCTGTGAAGCGAGAAAGCTCTGTTACAGGGGTTGCCAGCCTTTTTGAGTCGCTAGGCACATCTGGAATTTTGAGAAAGTGTTTGACAGCTGGAAAATGGCTGCCGCGAGGGCAAGGCATATCACAAAAGGGTTGTCGTGGTGTCATAGAATAACACAAAATGGCCGCCCAAAGAGGGTGAGGCATGATGGTTGCCACTTCTAGAAGAGCAGAACAAGCCACAGGGCCGCAAAATGATGCATGTATACTTTCCATCAATGGGGATAAGTCGCTTATATCATCCATTGCCACACTGAGTCACTCACAGAGAAAGCCCTTTGCATCTTTACTCTGCTCAGAATGGAAAGGAGGGCGGGTGTCCAGTCCTGGTACTCAATGAAAAGTGGGCAGGAGAAGCTGAGCCAGTGCAAAGTGGAACAGAGCAAAGAGAGGAGATATTGAGTGCAGCCATTTGTGGGCAGCATGGGAGCCGCTGGTGGGCACACTGGCATCCATGGGACCACCTTGGCAACCCCTGCTCCGTTACATGTGATTGCGAGCCTAATTGTGAGCAGTCCTTATGGTCTGGGTAGGACTCTATGGGTGTAGGTGGAGCCTTAAGCAACCAGATCACAAGCCGTCCAGGGCTTTAATAACCAGCGCATTTTGGGTGGGGGGGAGGTTGCCGCTGTCACATTGGTCTCCTATTGACACTCGTCTTAGAAAGGAAACTAAAGACTCACTCAACCATGGGGGCTGAACTCTCCTCCGACCTCTGAAAGTGGTCCCGCTCCAGCAGAGCAGCTCCAGGGTCACATGTTGTAGGAAGAAGGAAGTCTCCTTGCCCTCCGTCGCAGCCCATGTTGTTATGGATAAACAGCGACTGGTGCTAAGTTGCTGGGGGAAGGGAGGAAGCAGAACTGAGTGGCGAGACGTCTGTCTGACCCCTAAAAGCCTTTGGCACTCCAGAGGGAGGAGCAGAAGGGGGGGAATTGGGTGCAACTGAAAGGCAAACTGCTGCTTCTCCTTCACCGTCCTGCCAACAGCTCCATCCCCCGCTCCAGCTGTGCCGAGGCAAAGTGGAACCTCTTCGTCTTGACATATCCATATCCGAGACCAATGGCTTTGCCTTGGAAGTCACATTTGGCATTCCTGACCAGTTTCAATGGAGGCCATTGTCCTTAGGAAAGGTCACCACCGCCAGACACTTGCTGCACCCCAGGCTGCAGAGAGAAAGCCCGCCTGAGGACGTAGGAAGGGAACTGGAAATAAATACATCAAAACAGATCCATTAACTGCAGACAGTGGAGTCCCATGTTGCTGGGTTCTTGTTAGACTCACACTGCACACTGGGCCGGATTTAGGTTTGATGAGGCCCTAAGCTACTGAAGGTAATGGGGCCCTTTATATGTCCAGCTGTCCTTTGTCAACAACAAATTGTCGCTGTTTTTTTGCGTTGAATATATGCTATATGGTAATGTATGGCGCTAATAGGTAGCCAAAGCCATTTGCACATAACAAAATATGTATTTTATCAAAGTAATTGTTGAACTGAAATACAATTGAGAAGTCTACTAATAGTGAAATTGGGGGGGGGAGCAAGGGAGTGGGGCCCTAAGCTATAGCTTGTTTAGCTTATACGTAAATCTGGCACTGACTGCACAAGTTCATGACATACATTTGCCTCTGGCAGGTGGCTGGGGTCCTGCCGGCATTGCATTTCGCAGCAATGTAAACAGAGTTAAACGCAAATTATGGTTAGAGATCTTAGGCCCGCTGCATTTTGAGCTAGCCACTCCCTAACAGCACCCCTGCTGGAGCAAAGCACAGAATTTCACCTGGGATTGGCAAGGTCTGTCGACTTGCCTCTGGGATCGTACAGCAGTTAAAGAAACTCTCAGAAGATTTAGAATTCCTTCAGCCTTTTTCATCTTCATGACTTAGAAATCTGCCTTCATAACAGGAGAGCATAGGGAAGGGGGCCTAGCTCAGCAGCACAGCATTTAAGAACATAAGGAGAGCCCGCTGGATCAGGAATCCTGTAAGCAGGATTCAAGCGCAAGATCCCTCTCCTCTGCTGAGGTTTCCAGCAACTGCAGAGGCATGGATCTGATTGTTTTAATTTTAAAAATGAAGTGGAAAAAAGGAGAAAGGCAGGGGATTTGGGGGCCACATCTAAAGGGGTGCTGCTCAAGACCTCATGGACACCTTCTAACACTGCCTCCAAATATTTCTATTAAATAAGAAAGAAGTATTCCTGCAGGCTTGCAATCCCTTTCAGAGGTCTGTGTTTTCTCTACTCTGTGCACTCAGTCTCCCCCTATTTCCAGTGATCTGTTTCTTCAATTCTTCCACACAAAATGTATTCATAAAAAGCTATTCACAGCAGTTGCCAACATTTTTTCCATCTTATCATAGTTCTCCTGCATTCACCCTCCCCGGTTCCCAGTCTGTATTTTGGGAGGGTAGGCCATGGGGTGATCATCTTAGTAAGGCTGCTCTTCAGCATCCGAGTTGCCCTCAACTAACTCTCTTCAGTTCTCAAAGTCTGGCTTTTTCCTTCTGAATATTTTGAATGACCCAGGTGACCTTGCTTTTTGCTTTTGGGTCAATGCAGACTTGTGCTGGCTATGGGAGACCACCATCCTTCCAGTCACGTCAGTCCAGCGACTGGCATCCCAAAAACCTCCCTGGGTTGAATTCTGTAAATGCTGGAGGCTTCACACAACTGGAATAAAAATGCAATCACATCTTTCATTAAAAAAATAGCACCGACAAAGGTTTTATCCCCTGGCGGGGGACAGAGTTCCAAAGGGAAGTGCGTTTGTTGCTCAAACCTTCCTAGCGACCTGAATTTGCCAATATGAGATTGAATCTCACCTGGAAATAGCAACAGTCTGGAAGCACCCCAGTTCTCCAGAGCAAAGCCTGGCTATGGACTATGATCTACAGCCAGAAAGACTGGTGTTTTATCTTGAGCATTTGCTGTTATAGCTAAATGGAACCACGAGGTTCAAAGGCAATATCCCCATGAATTCTGGGTGTTTGTGAAGGGTGGGGATAAACAATACATGATGTCCGTTTCTTACACACCCTCTTTGTGGACTTCCAGAAAAATCTGCTTGAGTGCTGTGGGAATTTATTTATTTATTTATTTATTTATTTATTTATTTATTTCAGTGTGTGTGTTTTATATTATGGCACCTTTCAGAATACCGATCCTTCCAAGGTGGCTTGACTTACAAATAACACCAGTATGCATTAAACAACAGGGCCGGCCTGTCCATGAGGCAAACTGAGGCAGCCACCTCAGGAATAGGAATCCAAAGGGCATAGGAATAGATCCCTAACAAATCAATTTCTCCCAGATTCATTATGCCAACCAGTTCCTGATTGAGTTCTTCATTACCCTTCTGTCAGCCAGCTCAACACCCATCCCAATCTCCTTTCTCTCTCTCTCTCTCTCTCTCTCTCTCTCTCTCTCTCTCTCTCTCAGTATCATAACCAAACACAGAGGAGAGGAAATCACTCTTCGCTAGACGATCACTGCAACCAAGAGGCAAACCAAGAGAACCAGCATGTACAATTCGGAGCGGAGCCAAACATTTGGTTTCTGGTCAAGACTGCTTGCACATTCTCACATTTCCCTCGGTCCCCATGAGGGCCAGAAACTTTCTCTTTGAAGTTTGTTTGTTTGCTTTTGTTTTGTTTTGTTAAGCTGAAATTCTTAGGAAGTCAGCATCTTCCCAGATTCCAGATTCTGCAGGCCCTGTAAATTCACAGACTATACACGTCTCCGACACTGGTAGTAATGCTTTGGCAGGGAGGGGGTTTCTGGGAGGAGATGGCGCTACTGTAAGCCAGAATGTGGTTTCAGGTGACTACACAGTCGCTGTAGGTGAGAAGAGGGGAGGAGGGAGAGCTCTCTGGGGAACAACAGCGCATTGAGGCCTCTGTATCTCTCTGGAGCAAAGGAAACGGAAAAGAGATAAGGAACCCTTTTGGATCAGGAATTCCTTCTCACTTTCCCCTTTCTGTTTGTCTTTCACTAGAGATAACACGAGACCTTGTACAATTTACCTGTATCCAGGGCTGCCAATAGGCCATGGGACACTTTCTGTTTCCACACAAGCTCCCTGCTTTCTAACCGAGGGATACCAGCGCGTTGGCTCAAGAGGGAAGTGTTTTGAGCTCCCCCTCTGCAGCTGCCCTGTGTTCTCTGCATCACGCAAAGCTGACTTATCTCGAATGGCTGTAATTCGAGGAGCAACTCGGAAAAACAGAAGCAAGATTGCAGACAATGAAATGGAGAGAATTTGAAAGCCAAGGGGCCTGATAAAGAAGGGGGGGAGGGACGTGTGTATAGTGTTTCATTCATCGCTTCTGCTTCTTGCCGGGGAAAGGGGGGAGGTTATGCGGGAAACCCTGCTAGAGACCCCTCTTCTTTTGGATATGGATTATTCAATGGAGAGGCCAAAAAGCAAACTGCAGGAGCTATGCTTACAGGACAGGTCTCCACAAGCCAGTGTTCATGCTTTGCATAGAAAGGTGCCAAGTTCAATCCCTGTCATCTGCAGGCAGGGATGGGAAGAGATCATGCCTGAAATCCTGCCTGAGAGATGCTGTCATTCAATAGACAATACTGGACGAGATGGCCCAATGGTCTGGCTCAGTATAAGGTAGCTTCCAGTGTCTATCAGTGGTACAGCATAGACCGTGAAGCATTCAGCAACACCCTTCCTGGCTTTTTATAGGTGACCACAGCAGGAGGTCTGTCAAGCCATTGGCAGGTCACCCTACATGCCACTATTGTATAGTGTGCACTCCAGATGTTTTGGATGACAACTCCCATGAGCATGGCCAATGACTAGGGAAGGTGGGAGTTGTCCAAAACATCTGGAGGGCACCAGGTGGTTCATGACCCTAGAACCCAGTAGGGACCAACGCTGTGAGTCAGAGGCTACAGTGTCACTGGTTAAGGATCCAGGCTCAGCCCCTGGTTCTGATGGTGGCAATCAGTGGACCACTGAATATGAGGCCAGCAGGCAGAAGCCCACTGAACTGGATGCCATCCAGGTTCTTACAGGTGCCTTTCCCTAAGCTTGAACTGAATGCCTGCCACACTGGGCGTATGTTTACTGCCTTCCGTGCATCCCGTACGCTCCTGCTGCTAGTTTTTGAAGCTGCATACAATGTTAACCACAATCCATACTTATCCTGTAGTTTCTTGACAAATTGCAATGGACTGGTTAGAATGGTGGGAGGGACCAGCTGGGGAACCCCCAAGGGAAGAAGGCTCAAAGTCAGGGGAGTGGAGGTGGGACAGTGATGAGTGGGCAGAGGGAGAAGAGGGAGACTGGGAAGGGGAGGTGTCGGAAGCTGAATGGGTAACAGGACTTAGTGAGCTGGGAGAGCCTATGGCAGAGAGAAGTCAAGAATCAGAGGCAGAAGCTGAAGCAGGTGAGTGGGAAGAGGGAGGCCAAGAGGCAGAGATGAATTGGGTGTCCCCTCTCTCCTGCTGTGACAGGGTCCCCTCCCCCTCTGACTCCCAAAACCAGAAGAGGTATGAAACAGGAGAAGCAAAGACAGGCTGCACGCAGGAACAGTCTCTGATTGCTTGGAAGAAGCCTGGAGAGAAGGAGACATAGATGGGTGTAGGTAGGTAGGGACTTGTAGTCTCGGTAACTGGTTTCATAGAGTAGGACCTACAGAACATGAGCTGTTGTACTCATTAGGCCTGAAACTCAGCCAAGGCCATGAAGAATATATTTTGCTAATACATAGTTAACTCCAGTTTGAACTGTGTGATTTACTGACTGCCTTGCTCTGTGACACAGATACTGTACAGCTCTTTGATGCATTTTCTCTCTCAAGCCATTTCAATCTGGCTAGAAAACTAAGGCACATTCACTTCATACTTAAGAATTTTATGAGCCTTTGAGACAGATGAGTCTGCATGAGCAGATGACAGCTTCATGAGCAGGAATTCCAGGGGGGGTTGCAGGGGTGGAGAGAGGGCATGCACGCCAGGTGAGAACATAAGAGGGGCACTGCTGGATGAGGCCAATGGCCCATCTAGTCCAGTATCCTGTTCTCACAATGGCCACTCAGATGCCTGTGGGAAGCCTGTAAGTTGGACATAAGTGCAGCAGAATTCAGCCCACCTGCAATTCCTACAAGTGGTTTTCAGAGGCATATTGCCTCTGACAGTGGAGGCAGACCATAACCATTGTGCCTACTAGCCATTGATGAAGACATATCCTAGCTTGCTCATCCACAGTGGAGTTGTCTTGGAGAGGAAGCGTCTCAAAAGGCTTCCATTCCCTTCCAGCCCTTGTTGGAGCATGTTGCTCACTAGGAGCTATCCCTGGTGCTGAAATAACCAATATGCCTTGCTGCCATGCCCCGTGGTGTACTCTGTGGGATCAGGACAAACTGAGAAAGGCTGGTGCAATGGCTAGTGTTGGACTGTGGTCAGAGTGTTGGACCAAGATTGGAGAGATTCGGGTTCACATCCCCACTCACCCATGAAGCTCTTTGGAAGACCTTCAGATAGTCATTTCCTCTCAACCCAACTCTATTCATAATTGTTTGCTTCATTCCATCTGATCACCACGGTCTGCAGGGTGTCCACTCTCCTTCTGGTCCTGCCATGCCTTCACTGCAGATATTGAGAAATCATAGTGGCAGTCCCTTGAAGGAAATGCAGTCCTGAGCCCACAGGAGCTTTGGTTCATTCATTTATTACGGCAGACTAATGATTCTCCTGCAGCATACCATTAAGGAATTGCTGGACAACTTCATTTGCTGACTCCTCCTTAATACTGGAGAACGTAAATTTGAGCCAATGCCGCATCTGATGCAATAAGAGGAGATGCTAATAAGACACAGCTCCGCTTTCAGCTCAACAACTTTTGGCAAAGGCCCCTTCCTTTTATTTTTGGCTTGTTTGCCACAGCTCCGGTTGACGTAGAGGATCTAAAAGGTAAGGAACACAGGAAGACAGATGAGTCAGCCCAAGAAGCCAGATGGTGGTTCTAGCTGTGGGACACCTGAAGAGCACTGGAGTTGCAGGAAAGAGATCGGAAGGGTGAACATACCCAAGGGATGGATTTTGGAATTCCAAAATAATAAGGGTTTCCCTGCCTTATTGTTCAGCCGTGCATCTGGGAATCTCATTAGGCAAATGCTCAGGGTGAAGTCATAGGGAAAGAGGCCTATAGGAGGCTTGACACCAAAGCTGAGGATGTCCTGCTATCAACTACCACTAAGGGTGAACATGATCGTGTTTTTCTGCACAGTCAAAGCAGAAGATCATCCTTAGTGTTACTGTGCTTGTCCACCCACCTCCGACTCTGCTCTTGTGCAGTGTGATGCACATAAATTTGGCAGATGAAGCTTTTCCTGGCTTGGACAGAAGCAGCAAGAATATATTCACCAGCTAAATTTCTATAGGGCAGATTACCATCAAGAAATATAAGATGAGCTGGCTGGATCAGGCCAATGGCCCATTAGTTCAGCCTCCTGGATGCCTGTAGGAAGCCTGCAAAACTGGACATTAGCGTAACAGCACTCTGACTACCTGCAATTCCCAGTAACTGGTATTCAGAGGCACAAAGCCTCTGACAATGGCTCTCCTAACCCATCTCTCAGTGGCCTGAACATCCCCATCTTAGACTGGAGGCAGAAGGCAATGGCTCCCAGACCACCCCGGAGCCTGTGCCCATCCCATATAAAACGGCAAGAAGGGCAGGATGGTAGAACTCAGTAGAACAGCAGCAGCATGAAATGTAGGTAGCTAAAAGCAGCAGAGCAGATAAACAATCACCATAGGAACATAGGACCCAATGAGTCCTCCTACACTGTTTACCCTGACTGACAGCGACTGTCCAGGATTTCGGGCAGGAAATCTTTCTCAGTCCTACCTGCAGTTGCCAAGGATTGAACCTGATGTTTTCTACATGCAAAGCAGATGCGCAACCACTGAGCTATGGTCAACTTTAAACTGTCCAGTAAAATGCATAAGGTTTGACCAGGCATTGAGCTAGCTGCAGTGTTGAGGCCAGTGCCACTCTTATGGAGCGGGTACTCCACGGACAGGACACCACCACAGAGAAGTTCCTCCCTTTTGTGGTCACATAACAAATGTCCCCGGTGACAGGACATGGAAAAGAGCCTGATGGCAGGACACCATCCTTCTTTGCCTACTTCCTGTCCTGGTTTAATTTTAGGCAGAGTCCTAAAATCTATTTATAAATAATAATCAGAACCCTTCCAGATGGTTGCTTTTTGCAAGGAGGGTTCAATCACATACTTGCCAGCACTATTTGATTAGGTTCTCTTGCATAACAAACCCAGTTCCTTGACTTTTTGCTGTAAGGAAAGTGATGGAGAAATGTACTTGAAAGTTTGCAGTAACCGCCCTTTAACATCACGGTCATATAGCCTCCTTGTAATCAAATCAGGATGAATTCTCAATAAACAGTGGGTTTCATATAACTTCCCCCTCGAGCTTTATGCAAAGAAATAAGGATGAATACTCAATAAACAGGTCATCTGAGAGCCAACTAAACAAGGCAAGTGCAGGAGGATGTGAAGTGTATGGGAGAATGGATTAAAGAAGGCCGCAGATGTTTTTGTGGCTATACGCTGCAGGAGCACCTGTTGTCACTTTGCCTGCCAGGGACCCCGTGCTTGTGGGTCTCACAGAGGTATCACCGTCACTTCTTGGCTCAAGGAAGAGAGGGGATATCCACAGCATCTCATCTTTAAGTGTGGCATCCGGCCTCATGCTGCCCTTGCCTGAGTTCCTGTCCCCTGGAATGTGAGTGATCTAATACGAGTGGTCTCATCTTTCACAATACCACACTAAGACCCATCTTTAAATCAGGTCCATCCCATTGGCTTGTTTCCTAGGCTAGAAATAAATCTGTTACATCAGAGCATCCTTCCTTTTCTTTGGGTTATTCTCTTCAAGGATCCCCAGTGGCTTCCCCTGTTTGAATTCTGATTGAGCTCTATTTTTATACAGAACCTGATTAAAAGGTAAAAGTAAAGGGACCCCTGACCATTAGGTCCAGTCGCGGATGACACTGGGATTGCTGTGCTCATCTCGCTTTATTGGCCGAGGGAGCCGGTATACAGCTTCCGGGTCATGTGGTCAGCATGACTAAGCCATTGGATGCTGCTGAGATGACCCAGATCACACCAATATGCCTCTCACCCTAACTCCATCTCTCAGCCAGGGCACCTCCATCCGAACTCCCATCCCACAATTCAACATCCAACATGCAACCCAGGCTCATTGCAATGCAAGCCCCAGTTCTCTGCTCTGTATTCCTCTTTATTCCCATTCCATATTTGAGTGTGCACCAGATCTTCACAGAGGACACTCCCTCCCCCCATACAAAGTATTGCCAACATGGTGCTCTCTGCAGGATATTGGATTCCAACTCCCATCATCCCTGACCATTGGTCCTGCTTCCTGGGGCTGATGGGAGTTGGAGTATGGGCACTGCCACATACACCCAATAACACTCTGCACTGTAGATGCCTCCCAGTGCTGATTTCTCCAATGTGTCTCTTGAGTCTTATTACCTCCAATCCACGGGTACCTCCCAGTGCCATTCCTGTCGCATCCTGGCTGCCTTTTTTGCACACCCAAGGCTCCAGCCATGAGGGAGACAGTAGCATATGCAGACTGTTTTTCTCACTAATTGTTTCTCTAATAATGCTAATAGAAGCAAATAACACTTGGCAGACACCATGTTCGGTAGCAGAAGACTGCTCTGTCATCTCAGGCAGAGAAAGTGAGGCACACAGAGACTGCCAAAGGGGTTTTGTTCCAGCTCAGTGTCTTCGGAGGAAAGAGGTGGAGTTCAGGCTCTGGACATCTTGAGCACATAGCCGCTCCACTTGCTAACCCAAATAATTAAGGGTGCATTCACATTGCAGCTTACTCCACATCCAGTGTGCTCCCATGGCTAGTTTTTGAAGCTACATTCGCAGAACATGAGCCACGACCCATATCGATCCTGTTTTGCTGTTTGATTTCTCAAACTGGCTTCAATACAACTACAAAACTGGACAAAGAGTAAATGGTAAGTTGAATAGGCCCTAATAGCCATCATGCATGTTCAAATGACTAAAGGTAAAGGTAAAGGTGACTATGGGATTGCAGCACTTATCTTGCTTTCAGGCCAAGGGAGCCGGCATTTGTCCACAGACAACTTTCCGGGTCATGTGGCTTCTGGTGCATGGAAGACCATGATGAGTGCCAGAGTACATGGAAACACCATTTACCTTCCCACCACAGTGGTACCTATTTATCTACTTGCACTGGGGTGCTTTTGAACTGCTAGATTGGCAGGAGCTGGGACAATGCAATGGGATCTCACCCTGTCATGCAGATTCGAACCGCCAACCTCTGATCAGCAAGCCCAAGAGGCTCAGTGGTTTAGACCACAGCGCCACCCACTCCCCTGTGCAAATGAGTGCACAAGTGTAGATGAATAGGGGTTGGGAGCGGTTCAGGTGCAGAAGGAACAAAAACCTTCATGCCCATCAGATGAAGACATCCCTGCCTCCCCTCTGATGCAATTGCAGCTGGAAATGAAATATGGAAGAAATGACTGACTGGAACCCTATACAGTGCAACATTTTCATGCAGCTCATATGACTAAGACGCAAAGCACGTGTGAAGAATATAATGTTAGTGGCACACGTGCTCTAAGATCTCAGAATAAAGCCTGAGGCAGAATGTGGATTCTCAGGGTAGCAGCAGGAGGTCAGAAAAGCCGGAAGCTGCTCTTTGGGCTAAAGGAAACCAGCTGCGGCTGCTCTTAGTTCCAGGCAGGAGGCTGGGCAACGGAAGGAGCTCTCTTGAAGGAACAGCCTACCAGCTAACAGAGATCTGTTTCATTAAGCCACAGCCAAGGTGAGGTCAGAGTAGAGCAGCTGGAACTGTTCCAGAGGCCAGGGACATCCTCATATGGAAATGGCTGGGGCTTCCTTGAGACTGCCAAAGGGAATAGTTCTTTTGGCCATTTTTAATGCTCTTTCCATCAGCTCCTTGTTGGGAAATAGGGAAGTCCAAGGGGCAAAAGCTTCTACCTGGGTTATCCATGGTACCTAGCAGGAGAGTGACCACTGGTTTGCCTCCCCAATGGAACAACCATGTCTGCTGAACATATATGAACCTATGAAGCAGCCTTATACAGAGACACACCATTCTTTCATCTCACTCAATATTGGCTGGCAGCAACTCTCCAGGATTTCAGGCACGAGTCTCTCCCAACCCTACCTGAAAGTGACAGGAAATGAATGTGGGACCTTCTGCTTGCAAGGCATTTGCTCTGCCACTGAGCTATGACGTTAAAGCAAGCTGCTGATGGGTTGAGCTAAAGACAGAGGCGAATTGCTTCAGTGGTGTGGCTGGAAGGAGTCAGCAATGGACTGAGTGGATTTGCTGAAGATGGGAACGTGGTCATTTTGGCAGAGTATTGTGGGACCCAGGGCCGGTTCTAAAACAAATGGCACTCAAGGCATGGACTGTCTTCCTTTATTTTAGCTACTGACATCATTTGCATATCTCTAAATTTGCAATATCCTCTGGGCGGTTAACAATAAAAGATAAAACACATGAATATCAAACAGAATGAAACCTCATTACAAGGCTAAGCAAATAAAACCTGTGGCAGCAAAGCATACACTAAACCAGCAGAGCTAAAGAATTACGTCTTCCACACAACTGTTAAAAGTGCAGGAGCCCTGTCTTCTTTTTCACCTGGCCAGCAGGTACCTTACTCTAGCGGCTTCCTGTCATTTGCCTCTTCCAAGCAACTTAAAGGTGCAAGAACCCTCTGCAGAGTTTTACTCAGCCAGCTTGCACTAAATTGGCTTAACTATGTACCCTAGACATGGCATATGTCATAGGCAGTCATTAGAGAAGCTGCTGCCGTGGGAGTGTAGAAGAGGGGGCGTAGCTCAGTGGCACAGCGTGTGCATGGCATTCAGAAGGTCCCAAATTGAATCCCTGGCACCTCCAGGTTGGGCTGGGGCAGGTTCCGTTCCTGAAACCCTGGAGAACCACTGTCAGTCAGTGTTGAAAATACAGTGGTACCTCGGGTTAAGAACTTAATTCTTTCTGGAGGTCCGTTCTTAACCTGAAACGGTTCTTAACCTGAAACACCACTTTAGCTAATGGGACCTCCTGCTGCCACCGTGCGATTTCTGTTCTCATCCTGAAGCAAAGTTCTTAACCCAAGGTACTATTTCTGGGTTAGCAAAGTCTGTAACCTGAAGCGTCTGTAACCTGAAGCGTATGTAACCCGAGGTACCACTGTACTGAGCTAGATGGAGCCAGCTTCATAGGGTCATCTATATTCTGCTGACATTGTTGATGAGCAGGGATGCAGCACTTAGGCAGACTCATCTCATACCCTCTAACAAGCTGCAGAGGAAAATTGGGACGCACATCTTTCGGGGCCGCGATCTTGCGGGAGCCAGAATGGCACATCCTGGGATCCAGTCAGAAGCCAAGATGGCTTCTATAATTCCAGGATGTCCTGCTTAAATCAGGACCGTTAAGGGGCATGCCACCTGCATCCTGGCCTCCAACCCCTGTGTTGTGAAATGCAGGCAGAAATCAACATGCCCACTAATTCTCCCACTGCTGCATTTCCATACCAATAAAAGGTTTGTCTTGTATGTATATGGATGGACAGAGTTATGAAGCAGAAGAGAGAGAGAGAGGAGGAGCTGCCAGCCACTGAAGTCACACTGCGCTCTACCTTCACCCGATGATGCGACATTGCATGTGTGATGCAATGCCAGCCCCCCTCAACCTTCAGCGCTAGTTGGCACCTCTGATCCCCAGTATCTTCAGGTAGGGCGGGGAGAGACTCCTGCCTGAAATTCTGCAGAGCTGGATTGCCATTCAGTGTAGACAATACTCGGCAAGATCAGGGCCAGATTTAGGTTTGGTGAGGCCCTAAGCTACTGAAGGTAATGGGGTGATATTTTAGGGAGCAGGCTAGGAGGCGAGGCCCATTACTTACATCATAGAAGCCTACACAACATAAAACACCGTTGCTGTATGTAGGTTTTAGTTTACAGTGGTACCTCAAGTTAAGTACTATACTTAACCTGAAACTGTTCTTAACCTGAAGCACCACTTTAGCTAATGGGGCCTCCTGCTGCCGCCACACCGCTGGAGCACGATTTCTGTTCTCAACATGAAGCACTATTTCTGGGTTAGCGGAGTCTGTAACCTGAAGCGTATGTAACCTGAGGTACCACTGTATTTGTTTTTTATCTTATATTTTGGAAATTTCCATCCAAATTATTTTCCCTTTAAATTTTTTTGGGGCCCCCCCAAGCAAGAGGGGCCCTAAGCTATAGCTTGTTTAGCTTAAACGTAAATACGGAACTGGGCAAGATGGACCAATGGTTTGACTTCATATAAGGCAGCTTCCTCTGTTCCTATGGAAACCCTGTTGAGTGGCAGAAGCAATACATAATGGGGAGGAACCTACCGTGGACAAGCGTTATCTGTTTGGGAAGGGATATCATGACATCGTAACTGTTTGTGCCCCTTCAGGCTGGCCCTGAAAACGGATAGCTGGGAGTGAGTGCCAGAGAGACAGACACGCTGGTGTTTCCTTCTCTGTTTCTTGTGAGAAAGTTAGTTGGACCTTCTCCGTGGCCTTTCTCTCTCAAAGTTTCCTTTTGTGCTTGCTGGACACAGAGCTCCTTGTGCGAGCAAGACTTGCATGGAAGACAGCTGTCTTGGCATTGCGGAGTGGAAAGCAGAACCCTTGGAAATGGCCAATAGACCCACACTCCCACACCCTGAAAACAGCACGAGGGGATGGTATTCCCATCCCAGACCTAAAAGTGCAACAGGCCAGCCAAGGCTTTTTAAGAGCAGTTCTGTCCAGGTTAGAGGGAAGCCCCTGGAGCAGCCTTTCCCATTCCTCCTGGCAGCAATTGATCCCTTTGCAGAAATGCCTCAATTACTTTCTCTCCCAAGAGTTGGAGAAAGGGCAAGAAGGGGCTTAAGAAGTCATCTAGCACCACGTCAGCAGCTGCTACAGAGCCATCACTTTTGGTCTGTGTTCTTCATCTTCTCCCTCTTCTTTAATGGATGTCCTTGCTCCTGGGTTCTTCCTCATCACACAGATTCAGGAAATGATCAAGGATAAGGAGAGAAAACAGAGGCAGAGGGTGGGGGAAAAGAGAGATAGATCAGAAGAAGGCTGTTGAATGGGGAGGCTGAGATTTGGGGGAAATGTATCCATTCTTAAGGGAATCAGCCCTGAGTGCTCACTAGAAGGACAGATCCTGAAGCTGAGGCGCCAGTACTTTGGCGACCTCATGAGAAGAGAAGACTCCCTGGAAAAGACCCTGATGTTGGGAAAGATGGAGGGCACAAGGAGAAGGGGACGACAGAGGACGAGATGGTTGGTCAGTGTTCTCGAAGCGACCAGCATGAGTTTGACCAAACTGCAGGAGGCAGTGGAAGACAGGAGTGCCTGGTGTGCTCTGGTCCATGGGGTCACGAAAATTTGGACATGACTAAACGACTAAACAACAACAGAAACTGAATTCAAGACTGTAAGAATGAG